AATGAAATTCTGATAATCAACATTTTGTTCTGTTATCATAATGTATATACGCATAATACAACTGATCTTTATGATTTCTTAACGTGACACAGCTTCTTCCCCCCTGCAAATTAAAAATAAAACACGGTTATTCAATAAAAGGATCATGCAACAAAATGATCATTGTGATTCAAATTGATACAAGGATTTGTTTGAATAAGCAATGCTTTTCACCAGAATCTTCTTTGTAAAAACGACTTTTACAAATCTCAGCCATGCAATTCTGCCACTGTGCTGTAAGATCACTTTGAGATTAGGAGAAGTGTATTATGTAATGGGTATTTTAAATTGAATGGAACGTCTCAACTCAGTAAGCATGGCTGAGATTTGTAAAAGTGGTTTTTACAAAGAAGATTCTGGTGAATAGCAGTGCTTATTCAAACAAATATTCGCATCAATTTGAATCACAATCATTATTTGTCGCTTAATCCCTTTGAATGACCTTGTTTTCTTTCTCGTTTGCAAGGGGAGAAGAAGATATGTCACGTTAAAGACATCATAAAGATCAGTGTTGTATGCGTATATATACACAGGCCCTGCGGAACGTTAACTTTATAAAAAGTGGGGGGGGGGGGGGGGGGGCTAACGTATTTACGATCAGGTAGAGGGTAGTGAGCGTAAATTGGTGTGGGGGGGGGGGGGGTTCAGGGGACGGAGCCCCAGGAAGCCCAGGGGTTTTAGGTAACCATCCTCTATAGGACGACTACCCCCGGAAAACTATCCCCGGACAACTACCCCCTAGGACAACTTCCCCCTAGGACAACTACCCCCAGGACAAATACCCCCTAGGATATTTGTCCGGGGGTAGTTGCCCTAGAGGACGGTTATCATTTGGGGTGGTTGTCTGGGGGGTAGCTGTCCAGGTGGTAGTTGTCCAGGGGTAGTGTCCTCGAGCTGTAACAGAGCTGTAACAGAGCTGGAAATTGGTATTTCTCATACCTATAAAACTATAAAAAGGAGCGCTCATCAGAGATGTAAAGAGACACTTCTTTTCAGGGAAATTGCAATAATTACAAAGTAAAAGGGCACTTAATTGTCAAATTTAAAAAAGGGCATCTATTCGATGGCATAGGGAAACTTATGAGAGGGCACTTGTTAGAAAGAAAAAAGTGCACTCACCAGAAGTGAGAAGGGACTCGTTCCTTATGTAAAAAGGTGCACTAATCAGAGACATATATATATATATATATATATATATAAATATATATATATTTGTTTTTAAAAGGTAGGCCTATACCTAAACAGTACACCAGAGGTTTAGAAAAAAAGTGCTGACAAAATTAACTTGTACTACTAAGTTTGGGCAGATGTACTTAAAGATAAACTTGAGTTCTGGCAAAAAAAAAAAAAAAATGAATTCTCTCAAAATCAAACGAAACTTACACTGAATGTTCAAGATTACAAATAAATGTCATTTGCCAGACAATTTTGATAGAAAATGTATACATGATGAGTAATGCGCATAGAAAGCTATGGGAATCAAGGCAGTATCCCCGATATTTTTTGTGTAGTCCCATATACATCTTTATGTGTACAGTGCTTAATTGTTACTTTACCAAGACTGGGCCAAATTTATTATGATTTTGATGACTCCAGAACCTTGCATTACACACCATTACTTACATGCTACATGATCAACTTTTTCTGATCCATTCCACACCTTTTCTTTCACAATGCTTTGTCAATGGTAGAAAGCAGGAGTATGTAAAGCTTCAAAATTACAAGATGAACTTCGCAAACTACAGGAATGGTCTAATAGGAATGATATGAAACTAAATGCCTCTAAATGTTCAGTTATGCAGATCTCCTTTTGTAAGCAAACTGTACAACAGACGGCCTTGTTTATTAATGATACCCAACTATGTAATGTAGAATCTCCCAAAATATTGGGTTTGATCGTACAGAGTGACCTAAAATGGAATAAACACGTAACTGATCTCTTGAAGAGAAGTAACAAGAAGTTGTACATACTCAGGAGACTGAAATCATTCAAACTACCTATTGTAGATCTTATCACCATATTTAGAGGATATATCAGACCGATTGTAGAGTACTGTGCCCCTGTGTTCAACGGAGCTCTTACAAAACAGCACATCTATGCACTTGAATCAATTCAAAAGAGAGCATGTAGAATAATTCTGGGTAGTAGTTATACTTCATACAATGTTGCATTAGAAACATGTAACTTAGTGACTCTTGAGGAAAGAAGAAAACAATTATGTCTTACGTTTGCTCATAATCTGGAAGAAAATCCTTTTTCATTGAATTGGCTAGTTAAAAAACAGGAAAGTCGCTACTGCTTGGGGAGAACAACAAAGTACACCCAGTACTAGTGCAAAACTAACAGATTTAGAAAGAGTGCAATACCATACCTTATAGATCTTCTAAATAATGAATAATTGAAATGTATTTTTACACAATGTATATATATATATATATATTTTAACAATATTTGATAAATGTGTTTATCATTATCTAATGTTTTAATACATACCCAACTATGATTTAGTTTTAACGTAGGAAACCATGTTTTACAACCCACTCTGGAATATGTTTATCTTTTTACAGAGACATCAATTTATAATTATGTACTTACCGTTGATGAACAGGCAACATAGAGCAACATTTTGCTGACTTTTAATTTTCAATGAATATGAATTGTTAAAGATAATTACCGCCACCGGTATTTACCGCCCAACCCTGAATACTAGGCTAGAAAAATTGTTGAATATACTCTAATTTTTAGCCAATGTTATTTTTCATTCAATTATTGTGTAACTAATGTAAACATATGTATTGAAATTATGTAACTTAAGTAAACCTTGAAAAGAAAGGAAAAGGGCCGTTAGCAAGAGCTGTATTAATGCTGATGAGTCTTGCTACAACCTGGGCTTAACATGACCATGTTATTCCTAAGTATTAGCTGAGTATTATTACATCCCCCTCTGTCAAAAGAATTTTTGATCAATCATTGCATGATTGCAATAATATGCTTTTTCCTCTTTACAAAGATTTTGAGGAATATACATGTACAAGCCAATAACATTTGAGTTCAGCCAAGACCTACAGTTCATGTACATGTATAATGGATTTATTGACCTTATTTAATTCAGGTGAAATGAGTGGAAATGAAGTCTAATGAAATGACCCGTGTCCATGGACATGTCTGTCTGTATGTACACTCCTGGGTCGTATTAACTTCCGTTGAAATACATGTGTAACATTGTGTTGAGACGAGAGAGAGAGAGGAAGAGCTAAAAATACCAGTTTCCCTTTGGTATGCCCTTGTTTTGGAAAATGCAAGCCGTACTGACCTAAATTGTGAATAGGTTTCACTTGGTGTAATAAAAATATTATGTTGTCAATTGCTATAAAAGTATGATCTCTCTTTTCGCTTGTCCATTGCATCATTTCACATGCATAAGATGTGTAAGGTGAATTAAAGGTAATACAAAGTTTTGGGAAATTTTGAAAATTGGGTGGAAAGTAATTTTTGTGGATGTATTATATACAAGCACTAGAAAATTTAGCCCCTAAAACCCTTCTGCTTTCGAGAAAATTTGCTCCCGGTAAATTTTGATAAATTTCAAATAGTGCCTACGGCTGTACAATGGTAGCTGCGACCATGGAAATTTCATAGTTTATGTAATTTCCAAACGAGAATAAATAATCGGTCGATTTTAGTCAAGAAAAATTGTTTTAAAGCTTAATTAATATCTTGACCTTGAAAGGGAGCTATACAACATAAAGAGTTTATTACTTACAATTTCATAACTTTAGACTCGATTTCCAACTGCGACAACGATCACTGAATATTGTAGGATCGCATATGTTTCCAATATGTTCATTGGAACCAAATTCCTGACCCCATACCAAAACTGTGTTTTAGGTCTCGAACATCACATGAAAACTCACAGGTTAACTCACCTCAAATATTTAATAAATACAAGAACCTCAAAGAAAAATTGTTGATAAAGATATTAACAGTAAACTAATTAAGATTTTAAAAATAATTTCTTAAATGGCAGCTGCTCAGCTATGCGTGCCTGCGGAATTATGGATAAGGTATACAAGATATTAGTTATTCTTTAAAATAAAATATAGTTTAAGATGTCACAGGCTATGTTAGTGGGAATCTACCTAAATGTAATATGTTGGATATGCGCTGTATAATGCAGTTAATGAGAGGGGCTATAGCAGGCGCGTACGCAGGATTTTTTCAAGGGGGGGGGGGGGCGGGGGGGGGGTTTAACATTCATAAATCGGGCCGAAAATTTTGCAACGACTCAGCCAGCCGCTGAATAAGCGGGGGGGGGGGGGGGGAGGGGGGGGGGAGGGGGGGGGGGGGGGGGTAAGAGGACACTTCTTTTTTTTTTTGTCTCGAAATTTGAAAATTTGCCATTTGGCTCCGTTGGGGGGAAGGTCAGCTTTTTTAGGTCAACCATGGGAATATTTTCTTTTTTTTTTCTTTTTTTTTTAATGAAAAAAAAAAAAATCCAAAGGGGGGGGGGGGGGGGGTTTACACACAAAAAATTACCAAAGGGGGGGGGGGGGGTTTAACCCCCCAAACCCTCCCCCTGTGTACGCGCCTGGGCTATAGGCTGAATCATGGACCTACTATATGGCTGGATGCATTGGGTAATTAGTTCGAGGCTGGATTGTATCTGATAGCTTGGATGAGAAGATTGTCTCTAATAGATTTCTTTTCTTCCGAATATATTTGACATCAATATCAAAAGAATCATATGAAGTCATTCATTGTTCCATAAAATATTTTGATAATAGGCTGGTGCAATGCTGGAGTGAAAATACATAATGATAGTTCTCCGGAAAGGCGCATATAATACACGAACATGATCATTAAATAAAAAAATGTTATAAAGATGCTACATTACTACCGCGGTGACGTGGGACGTACCATGACGTCATAGATCATGTTTATTATGACCGCCCAGGCCAGCACTATACTTGGCCTAATAGCATCCGTTCATCATGGGCGTGTATTGATGTGATTGTGATTAAGAAGCAGCAACTATCTTTACATATCGAAAATGCCTGGAAATTATTTTAGTCTAGTATGCCAGCTCCTCCTCATTTTCTGTCTCTTCAAGTCTATTCACTGCACAGTCAAGCGAGAGCAAGTGTTACATAACGTGTTCAATAAATACCTCGACAGAAATGAGCTCCGGGAGAATTTCGGTCGTATCCGGAACTTTCCTCCCCGGACTTACGGCAGCGAAGGTACTCGCTGGAGCGCTGATGGGGTAGACGTTTTCCGAGCAATTTGGAATGTGCCGAATGGGTGCCAAGAACGACATGGGATAGAAATTCCATTGAATGACTATGGCATAGAATTCAACAAGAATCATAGTTGGTGGACAGGTGATGTTATTAGCCAGTTTGATGCGCAAATGATTGGTTATTACCCCCATGTGACTAAAGATGGAACATTTGTAAATGGAGGAATTCCACAGGTATCCAGTTTCAATTATAAACTTTTTAGTAGATTCTAACTAAGTAGGCCCTATGTGTTATTTACTTGATGTGGTAATCCCTGAAGCAGCTTTTCCAAGCTATACTGGGATGGGATGTGTTGTGACAGCAGGTGAAGGTGCAGACAACAAAAGGGTGTATACAGTAAAATAGTGACGTGCAAGTAAAAATAATCATGCTGCTATATGGTTTACAGCATTCTGGAACCTACAGGAGGTTCCAACCCTCTGATGACAGGGAGGGCGGTCATCTGGAAAGCAGCAACTGATGGGGCAGTAACTGCAGTGAATGCAGTTATTAAACATAAACATTAAAAAAAACATCTTTCACATTTGGCCAGGGGCACACATCTCCACATTTGTGGTTGTGCACAATGCTGTGACCTGTGTGTATTAAGCAGCTATAGGTTGAGTTTGAGGAGGATGGAAGGGGGGGGGGGGGGGTTGGGGTTGAGATGTGCCCCTTTTTGTATCTAGGTCCACCATGGACTTGTATATCCCCGGCAATTACCCCAAGCTCAACATTGCCATCCGCCTCTGAACAAAGGGGAAACCATAGTACCAATAGGAATTACAGTATGTGTTTTTTCCCCAGGAACATTTTGTGGTTATTGTCTGATAAGAAGTTATCAATGAGGATGGATTGATCCTACAGGTTCATATTGAATAGAAAATCACAATGGGTTTATTGCACAGAAAAAGTATCTGCTGTAATAATGTATATGATAGGTTGGTTGATCTGTATTGAAACTCACATGTAGTTGATATAAAAAATCCCTACTTTATAGTATTTACATTTTAATCTCACATTTCATATATGTTTGAAATCTGGCAAAAAAAATTAGGTGACTATAAAACTTGTCCAGACCTTATTTTCCCCCTTTTGCTTGAAATTTGACCCTATTTAATACCCTCGTATCATTTTGTATCATTGCAGCTTGGAAACATTACAGCCCATCTGCAGAAAGTAGCCGATGACATTCTAACGGCGATTTCTGATCCTGACTATGCGGGCCTAGCGATGATCGACTGGGAAGCATGGTACCCTCAATGGAATTCCATCGAACAACGCTACAGGACTTACTCCACAGACCATGTTAGCCGTCAGCACCCAGAATGGGACAAGGATACCGTCAATACCGTTGCAGCGCTGGAATGGACAGAGGGTGCCAAGCTTTTCATGGAAAGCACTCTCCAACTGGCCAAGCTCCTCAGGCCCAAGGCGCTCTGGGGATACTACCACTATCCATACTGTACGGTGCTTGCTAACAGCACTCAATGTCACCCCCTTCAGCCGAAACTCAACGACGAGATCTTGTGGCTGTTCAACGAATCAACAATCATGTATCCGAGTATCTACTTGATACCTGAACACGTGGCCGACTTTGAATCATCTGTTAAAGGTAGACTGGCAGAAGCATTCAGAATTAGAGAGAAATCCAGTGATCCGAAAGGGGCCGTAATGAGCTACACAAGGTTCAACTACACTAGCACCCATTATTATTTCACTTTGGTAAGAGTTTTCATTTATTTTAGTGAGAGTATTACAGTTGTCATCATTATGTCAGCATTATTGTTTCAAGGGGGGGGGGGGGTGATGCTGTAACCCTCTATTTGCTTAGGACTGCAATAGCAACTCAGTTTGTTCATTTATTTATTCATAGTATTTTATGATAAGCAGCCAATGGCTAAAATTTACAAGCAAGTTTTAAAAAATATATCATAAATGGTAAAAAAATACAAATGCCAAATGATACTCAGGGTACATACCTGTATGTAGTCTACTGTGGTTCAATAATTTAAGAAAAAAAGTCATAATTCATGTAATTGCTCTTTTGATTGATAAACTATGTCCATAGTTCCCACCTCTCTATCCATCCACTTCTTCCCTCTCTCTTTCCTCTTCTCTCTCTCTCTCTCTCTCTAGCCTGTGCCGGGTAGTTGGCAGATATATCAATACTTTGGTTATAGATATTTGGTTTCTTATTTGGTTTTAGATATTCGGTTAGAGCCCTTGCAACTTCAACTGGGTTTTAGGTGAAGTAATAGGTTTAGGATTAAGGGTAGGCACCAGGTATAATGTTGGGACCAGGGTCAAAGCTAAGTGGTTATGTGGTTACTGAGGGAAATTGCGTAGAGCAATTTTCAGAGGAGCAAGTGTGGAAAACTCCACCACAACACATCCACCTAAGTAATAAAGAAGAAACTTTCAAATAGAAACTAAAAAAACAACTCTTCCCATCGTAATTGAGTCAGGCAGGTGTTAAATGTTAAATATTTTATGAACACCTTTCTGGCTCCCAACAGGACAGGTAATACACATTCATGTCTGATGCCATTGTTATCTTTTATAGAAAAATTGAAGTTGTTTAGATATTATGAACAAATTATAAATGCACAGTTGCTTACAAAAAATCATTCATTGGCTAACTTATGTAGTGCTAAACAAACTTTAAAAAGGTAAATCTACCATGATGTTGTTTACTGGTAATCCGATACTCTCAAAGTTTCACTGATTTTTGTTTTCCTTTTTTGTAAAATAAACTTTCTCTTTCATTTTTTTCTTTCAATTTTTAGGAAGATTTGAATCACACTATCCTGACCTCTGCTGAGTTTGGAACCCACGGTATAGTGTTCTGGGGAGATAACTATGATGATGGCACGCTGCAGACCTGCCAAGAGTTGAGAGACTACATCATCAATGCCCTCGGACCTGTGGTGGTCATGGCTAGAGAGGGCGCCGGATCGTGCAGCAACAGAGTGTGCTCAGGGCAAGGTAGATGCGTCGGTGAGATATTAACCTGTGGCAAAGGCGACCATCGGCAAAAGAGGAAGACAATAGAGGTGAAAGATGGTGTTTGTACCTGTCGATGTTTTGTTGGATGGGAAGGGTATGATTGTAGTACTAGTGTCAAGTATTAAGTGAGTTCAGTACTTACATTAACGACTTGTTCAGATATGAAACGTTTTTTATATTTTTTATCAGTGGTGATGTAAGCGTAACGAGGTTCACAATACTGTATCTTGTAATACAGAGCTCAGTGAATAGCTGAATGATATATTTTAAAAAGATAATGCTGTGAATATACATGTATTTGTTTCCACTTATTGCCATTTGAAAGGTATTCTTTATGACTACCGTTAGTCAAGGATTTTGAAGATGATTGACTCAAAGCATTATTTTTTTCTTCAAAAACTGATTCAGTTATTAGATGGGTCTAGGTTTAAACAACCTTTGTGCAATTAGGTATTTCAAAATCTTAACTCTCAGAAAAACTTGTGTGTGATCACTCAATAATGTAGTCCAGATTTTGTCTGTTTTTGTATATTTTTCTAAATTCTTCAATCATGTATGTCCTCCTCCCTTTTAGCATTGAGGGTGTGTTATTTTCTCAGCTGATTTAGCGCCCGCTACAGAAACAGTCCAGGCAGTGCCAGTGGACGATCAATAATGATGTGCTGGTGAGGGTAATATTTGTTTGTGTGTTTTGTTGTTGTCTCCTGTGGTCTCTTTGTGACCACAATGTGTTGCACTGTGCCACATGGTCATGGTAGACAAAAATATGTTATTACCAAAGAAGCATTTTGTCCACATATCTCTGTCCCAATGGGCAATTTTTACTTTTATATTTTTATAACAAAATTAAATTACATTTTCATTTACATTTTTATACAACCAATATCAAAACAATATAATCAACCAAATGTGAAAATATGCTTGAATTTGAACTTCATCTAAACAACTTACTAAAAGTTTAGAAAAATCTAAGTTGTGGAAAATACATATTTTTCTTCTAAATGTGAATTTAACTAATACATTTGAAAAGTTTTAGTGCTTAAATTTATGTTTTGTACTTGGAGAACATAATGTCAACATTTTCAGAATAATTCCATGACTAAAATACGCATCCAAGTACCTGACTGCAATATGCCCTAAATTATTTTATTAACGTTACTAAACATGGTAGATGTCCAAATTGCGAACAGGATGTGGGTGGATTTTTTTCTTACAGCTTAGAGCCCAAAATCAGTACATGTCCATGTTGGTCTTGATTGTCGCTGTCTCTGCCCTTATTTCTCCTCTGACCATGTCAACGCTTGCTGCTAACTAGCCAGGCTTTCACTGCTTGCTTTGCCTCAAAGGTCCACACAGGAGCACCTTCCTGTTGAAAGAAGGTCGTCGATGTTACTTGTGAAGAGTGATTTTCGCCAGTCAGTGAGCACGCGCTTCATGGCTGAAAACGCTCTTTCCAATTCCGCATTAGAGATGGGACAGTCGAGGACAATGGCCACTACATGTAGGATGTTGGCATATCTCGTCTGCAACTGCTTTTTGGTAAGCATGTGTTTCCAGAAGTGATTGTAGCTCAGTTGGAGATGCTGATGCTGAGACACAAACAACTTTGTGGCTTGCCACTCCCGCTTTGTCTTTTCCAAGTCGCACCCTAGGGACAGCAAGACAGCCTTGAAGTGGTCAAGAAGGAAATTCACCTTCTCGTTGCCGTATTCTTGTATCTTATCAGCCGGCCAGGATGATCGGTCAAACACTGTGGCATTGGCAAAGATTGGGTTTCCTTCAAAATCTTAAAAGCGCTCCTGTATACACTCCTGGATTTGGGCCATTGTAGTCGGTCGCATGGTTGACAAAATCTCTTTTGCTGTGGCCAAATTTGTCATCTCAATATCATAGAGAACAGCTCTTCCTTCTTCATCTTCTTGCAGCTGCTTCCTTATCGCTTCTACATTGATACCCGGATAGGCTTCCGGCTCCTCCTTCAGGTTCCTCAGTCTTGTCATGGCTACACTCAATCTCTCAACAGTTTCTTGCATGGATATGTCACTTCTGTGAAAAGAAACTGGGAAACGGACGAAGACATCTTAGAAAGTGTTATCAAATTTGGTTGCAATCTAAAATTGGATTGTTTTATGTATTGTAAATTGCAATTCAGATTTCAGACTCAGTTTAATGTATTTTTGTACCTCTGGAAAGTCTCAGAAATGGCTGTTCACTCAGTCAGCACATCAAGGTAGAAATTGCAGAAAAGGAGAAACTTGGTCGTCAGCATCTTCTTCATGTTTTCATTCATCTGCTGCTTTGTCACTCCCTTGACATCATTCCTATGAGGGCTGCACACATCCTCGAGATGCTCTAGAAAAATTGGAAAGTTGTGGGAAAAGGCAACAAGGGCTTTCTTGTGATGGGCTACTCACCTGGTGCCATCAACCCGCTGGAATGAAACAGTATGTTGATTTCTGTTTTTTTGCCACTCTCCTCGGTTCACGTAAGTGCTTGGGAGAAATGCTAAAGAATGCATAATCTGTCTTGACGATTGGATCAATCTGTTTGAAAGAAGCAAATATACAATAAAAATATTTCATATCAACAAATCATTGTCTTTAGTTTTGCTTTTGATTTGTAAAGTAATCTAATGTGTCGTAGCCTTGGGCATAGCAGGCACTTAAGCTGAAGGCCGAGATGAAGGAAGTGTTGGGGTTCAGTGTCTGAAAAGCTTTGTGAAGGCTGCTGCAGTATCCATCAAAGATGTAGTGGCGAGTGCCTGGGTTCTACTGCGGACTGGGGTAGAGTAGGTGGTAGGTTGCAGCTGAAACTCTGTCCACGGGTACTGTCCTTGTTATTGCAGGACATCAGCAGATGGGTTGGATGGAGCCAGGCTACGTGCCATGATATACACACTGTAGTTCACAGTCAGCTGGGGCTGCTGGGTCTGCCTCAACACTGTGGTGGATGTCGTCGGCCTAGGACTTTGAGCTGCGGCGAGCTGTGGTGGTGCTTGTAACAGGGTGTACTGCTGACTGGCTGGCTTGCTGCATAAATCTGAACGGAGGCTGTGGTGGCCGCAAAAAGGTGACTTGCGGTGGTTGCTGTGCTTGACGACGTTTCAGGTTGGACTGTTTCACATACTCCATCACCTTAAAGGTGGCTTAATGGGATAAATCCTTCAGACAGAAAGGGGTCGTCTTTGCCATGAGCATGCTGAGGAAGTCGCAGGTCTTCTCTATATCACCCTTCGGCTCTGCCAGCTGCTGCGAGACTTTGGCACGGACACTCAGGGCTCTGCTCTTAAGGTCCTGCCACTTTTTTTTGTATTGTCTCTCCATTCCCTCTCCATCTTCCCTCCACTGCTCCTCAGGCTGTCACCCAACTTCTCCCATGCCTTCTGTTTCCTTACCTCCACCTGAGAATCATTTTTTGTCTTGAATTACTTAAATATCCATTCCATGACATTTGATCTGCTGACAACTGCTCCAATGGAAAATCTACACATTAAGCCAAACACCTTCACTAACCCTAGTCATTATCCTAACATTATTATGAACCAAGAACCCTTTCAAATCCAAATCCCTTAATTTTTGGAGAAACTAAGACAGGAGCAATTGTTGCAGGAGTGAATGTTTGGTTACCTGAATATCGATGAATAAATTCATTCTTTATAAAAGAATAAGGTCTGTTGTCGCTGATGTTGTCGCCAACTGTGGTGTACCTTCAAGGGTAGTCTGGGGCGTCACTGATGACTCACTGCAGTCAGAGTGCTGTTCAGGACTCTGAATTTTCGACCCTCTAATGGCCCTGGCTTGACAGACATACCTCTTGATGAACTCGAACCTCTCCAACAACCTGGTGATTATATGCGTCATGATGTCATATACAGCACTAGTCCGGATCGCGCTGCATTTTCGTTCTTCTTCACCTCCTTCACATACTAGGTCCTCAACAAAGTATACCATCTGTAGAGGTTGCCAGGGATCCATCTCCTAGACCTTCTTGTAACGGTTTTTAAACTCGAAATTGAACTTGTCGTTAAGGAATCTGTTGATACACTGACTATAACATGAGTGCTTTACCTGAGAGCTAAGGGAGTGTCCTTTCTACTTGGCTGCTAGTAGTGAAGTGGCTTGGAAGTTCAAATCAGTGACATTCTTCCTATAGTGGTAATGGTATGTTATTCAGGTATCCATCTATTGTCCTATTGTCACTGGCTGGTATGTATATTACATTGGCATGTACATTACATTGGCATGTGCATTACATTGGTATGCATTGCAGCTGGCATGTGTATTATGTTGTTCTATATACATAACAGAATCAGTTTGACTTCAGCTACCCAATATCCTCATCCTCTTCTTCTTTTCGTGAGAGATCTGGCCATCTTAGTCTAAGGTTTCCTGTTCTTGTGCTTATGAAAGTAAGACAAATTGCCGATTTCATAATACACATAAAACAAATGATTGTACAATTAGTACAATTATATACAACATTATACATATTTTAAATTATTACTATTGTATACTATATTCCATATTTATAACTATAATTTTGACTTACTGCTGCAGTGGTCGTGGTGGTAGCTGTAGCCGCACCTTCACCCGAAGCATCGCTTCTGGAGATCGAGGAATCACGTTCACTGGCTACTATATCAACTTCAATTTCAGTGTCTTCAGTGTCTTCTACATCAACAGGGTCTAGCTGCAGTGGTGGTTCAGGGGAATGCAAGCATGTCCTCTTCTTTTCGAGGAGCAGGAGACTTCTTGTTGACTGCCTTCTTCTTTGGAGCCGTGCTTGTAGGTATTGTAGAGTAGACATACAGAGGTGTGACTTCTATGACTTCTTGATAACAACTGAAGTTGAAGTGCTCGATTTTGCAGCATTTATATCTTTCCCCAAATCGTTAACATCTTTACGGATGCACCTCTGCTGGCGCTTGACCTTTGCTGTAGTTTTAAACTAGCCCAATCTACCACCTCCATCGCAATTGCTGCGTCATCTGCAACTTTCCAGGTCAGATCATTTCTTTTGGCCAGGCGCTTCACCTCTACCTTGTTATTTCGCAGACTTGCTACGATGTCTCAGAAGTTTGTATCCAGATGCTTACCATACCCACAATGTCTTGCAAGCTTCTTTAGTTCAAGGATGTACTCCGTTATCGAGTCCTTTGCCACTTGCCGACATTGTCTAAACGCCAAACGGAGCCCAATCTGGTTTTTACTTGAACCATAATAGGTATCCAATACATCATTCAATTCTTTGACAAATTTTGTACTTCAATCGTCTGAACAAAAATGATTAGACACCGTTTCGAACGTCTCGGGCTCAGGCCCAACTATGGCTAAGAATACAATTACTTTGTCCACTTCCGCTTTCTTACTAGATTTTTTCATGTCTGGAAACTTCTAACATAGTTCCCATATTTTTCTCTTTTGGGAACATATTCCCAAATCTGGCCAATTAACCCTGGCCCCACTGCATACGCCATACTGTACTGCTGATCATTCACTCGTACACGTGTAGTAAATTGGAAATTTCAACTTTCGATCGGGATTAAGTCTCACCAAGTGAGGTTTCTGCTACCCACGACAGCCGCAATAAGCTGTCCTTTCGATCCCGACGTCGGACTATGTTGGATATAATGGATCCTTCTTCCTGTCTAATAACTTGTTAATAATTTTAAAGAGACGTTTCTGGTCTCCTGAACAATCAGCAATGGAAGGAGAATAGTACTGTTTCTGTGCTTGGTCTATAAGATGAGACACGTAGTCGAGAGACACTCTAGGAAATATTAGAATCATTAATACTAACAGTTATACTCTAACTCTACCGGCAGAATACCAGCATATTTTTTTAGAATCTATGTAAAACCCCCACACCACTAAATCAAATGCTTTCATGATTTAACTGAAAAAAGGTGTTGAATGGGGGTCTCATTTCTATTATCTATTTTATTTTATTTTATTTATTTACTTTCCATATACTGTATGGGGAAGGAACACTCATTTCAGCTAAAAGCTGGTCTTCAAAGGGGTCCATCGACAAGATAAACATACAAATTGTTGATAAGGGAATTTTTTTTGGCTAAGATAGGTTGGGCAGAGTTTGTGAATTGATCGATACATGATACAAGCTAGGTGTTTTGACCAACGCTCATTGAGACTGTCTAGTATAGTTATCGGTATAAATCTTTTGAAGGAAAAACATGGTCCACATTTAACACTGTACGAAGTACTTTATTTTTAATTTTCCAAAATGTTTAATTTTTCTAAGATATGTTTTACAGGTATTTGACCAACCAGGACTGCAGTAATCAAAGTGGCTTTGCAAGATGGTTTTGTAGAACAACAGTGCAGTATTCTGGTTAATGTATGGTCGGAGTCTTCTCAAAAGATAAATATATTTTATAACTTTTTTCTTCATATGCAACCTGATTTTTTGCCCAATATTTACAACATTCGACTTGTTGAATTTTCATGCCATCAATAAATATATCAGAGTTTAATATCAGATTTATGTTGCATTTTCTTCAGGCGTTGAGTTGATCCCATGAATGGCCTCACATTTTTTCAGATTTACTATCAGCTTATTTTCAGATAACCAATGAGATAAACTTATTAGGTCATTATTAAAATCACGTACAGCTTCATAGATGTGGATCTTTTGTTGATGTATATAAGCATGTATCATCAACATACAGTGCGACTTCACAACAGTTAACACCCTTTGGCATATCATTGACAAAAAGAGGGAATAATAATGGGCCCAGATGCCAGCCTTGCGGGACACCACAACTAATTTGTCTCTTCTCGGATAGATAACCTTTCACAGATGTAAACTGATATCTGTCATTGAAGTAGTTTTAAAACCATTCTAAAGACAATTTATCAAATCCATACATTTCAATTTTTGCAAGAAAATTCAATGATCTACCGTATCGAACACTTTTTTTAAAGTCGATCATCACCAAGCCAAAAATATTTCCCGTATCAATTACATTCAACCATTTATCTGTAACGTTAAGGAGGGCACTCGCAGTAGAATGTAAAGACCAAAATCCCGACTGACAATCCCGACTGCATTTCATTGGTTAAAGACTTCTGTAAGGGTTGCCCGTTAAAACTTGAACGGTCACGCCCACTCACACATACACACACACGCACACACATGCAGTCTGTGTAAGCAATCATCAACTAGGTCCAATTCCACGTCTCTAATTAACAATCTCGCATCAAAAGTTGTAAAACCACTACATATTTTCAGAGAATAATAATTTTTTGACTACCTCCTAGCAATGTTCAGACAATATTTGGCTTCGGAGGAGAAATTCCCGTCGATATTTCGAAGCCGTAAGTCTCTCATTTGAACACCAGCACTGGCAGCAGAGACTCGATACTACGCTGCTGTACACGTATACAGGGAAAATATCAATAGCGGGGACAAAAACTAATTGCAAATTATGCAAATTATGCAAATTAAGCTGCTTTCCACTACTTTCCTATTGTGCTTACTATGTTGTGAATCAGAAGATTATTCCTGGAATCACTGCAGTTAAGTGATTTATTTTGCAATCATTTTTGGGGTACCCCCTACAATTTGCTATTTTGACTGTCTCTTTGAAACTAAAAATATATATAACTATAGTACACGTATATATATTGTCATTGTTATACTTCATATGAGTCTTTCGCTTGTAACGCACAAGTAATGTTTTAATAGTATTTTTTACATGAATATTTTTATGTTTGTATCTTTGTTCTGCTTGCAAGAATATTAAATATATATTTCGATATAGTTGGTGCTAAAAGCTGTGTGTCTTGTTTGATTATGCCTACAATGCAGTTGCTGGTTACTCTTTGTTGAAAACGATTGATTAAGTTTATTTCCGGAACAAGATAGTTGTTCAATGTATTTGTGTGAGGGGATAGGTTAGAGAGGGGAAGAAAGACAGAGAGAGAGAGAGAGAGGGGGGGGGGGAAGGAAAGAGAGAAAGAGGAAAAAAACAGAGAGGGGAAAGAAGAGAGATAGAAGACAAGAACAGAAAGGGTGGGGGCAACATATACACTTGAAAGAAAGAAGTAAATACACACATGTTCCTTAAAAACAGACATACTTGTAAAGGCAGAAAGAAAAGAGGAAAAGAGAAAGAGATAAATGGATAAATAGTGAGATAGATAGATAAAGAAGGAGAGAGAGAGAGAGAGAGATATTGGCAGACATAGAAATGAGGGTACACAAAACTCATGCAGGGCAGAAAGTCGGACATTAAAGGGATAGTTGAGTTCTTGTTTAAGACCGCAAATACCTTCAAAGTGCATGGTTATTGCTCTTATCCTTATTAATGACATTTCTAGTGCCCTTTTAGAACCTTAAATTGCTGTGAAGGTAATTTTAGACCTTAAAATATGTGAAATTTAGAATAAAAACGATCATACCAATTCAGCACCACTTAAAAAAGAAATATACGGTGACCGTTGATTAACAAACTAATTAATACACAGGCCGGCTGGTTGTGCCTAATATAACCAACACAAAAAAGCCAACAAAAGGCCAATATTGGCATTGGCTGGAATAAAACGTAAAGGCGCTATCTCGTTTTTTCAACGGCTGGTTCAAAATTACCGAATATTTTGTGTGGCCCCACAAGTATTAGAAATGGTTATATTTATGGATATTTCAGCGGTTTCTGAACCGAGTTAGATCAAACAAAGATGATTTTGTCATTTAAATTGTATATTCTTTCAATTTTGACACTCACTGTTTCATTATTTCACCCCAAAAATAGTTTGTGTAGCGGCGCCCTCTGCAACAAAACTCAACTCCCTTCAAGTAGAAGAAGAGACAGAAACATAAATACTATGGCATGAAGAAAATGATCTACAGAGAACCAGAAACGGAAGGAGAGAAACAGAAAGAAGGATGGAGATAAATGTACTCTCATGAAAATGAAATTTAAGTGGACACTTTATTTTTCAAAAGTTTCATATAAACCGTCGATAAAATATACATCAAATTAAAGGGAAATTAATCCCCTTCCAATATAATTAAGATCGAATTTGGAATAGTCATGCTTGGATAAGCACATTTATTGAACCTTTAGGTCTGATTTAGAATATCGCACAAATATTAATGAACATGAGGATCTGTAAGATATTCTTGTTCAATAATGGAAAAAAGAAAGAATAAGAAACAATGGGGAGAATTGAACTAAAATCGATTTCATATCTTACATATTGAACAATTGATCGGATCGATTTTAAAATAAAATTTAGGCTTTATGAAATACTCCCCAAATATTACAGTCATTCAAAACATCATACATTTCAGAGGTATAATTCATATACATAATAACTATACTATAACTATAATCATATATTTCATAGCTTAGTCTTAAAACAATACTATTACGGTAGTCAATTTACCAAGTTCTTGTTTAAAAATTAGTTTCATTGAGGACAGTATGCACATTGAACATGCGTCCCTTCATAGTGCGATTTAACTTTGCATAAAACATTCAACACCCTTAGGATCTTAAGACAATTATCCCCTGGGCAAGCACCCCCTGCAAACTACCAGCGTGACAATTACCCCCAAAGGACAATTACCATCCCCCCGGAAAATTACCCCTCCCCCCTCGAGGACAATAACCCTCTGGAAAAATACCCCTAGAAAAATTACCCCCCCCCCCGAGGATAATTATCTTCTTGGACAACCCCCACTCGAATTTGTATTGCTTTCATTAAAACCAATTTATTATCAGGATGGATTTCCCTGGGGGGGGGGGGGGGGCTGTATTTGTCCACGAGGGTGTTTGTCCTTGGGGCGTATTTGTCCTACGGGGGTAAATTGTAGAGAGGGGTAATTGTCCCTCTGGTTAGGGAGTGTAATCGTCCACGGGGGGGGGGGGGGGGTATGTATGATATGTGTTAAGGACCACTATTAATTTTAGTGGTTAGTTTTACCTGACTGCTAATGTGTATGTGTATAGTAAGCAACCAAGGGACCAACGGCTGTAAGCTCTTTCTAAGAGACTTTAATGAGGATTAATGCTTAACCAAACAGTTCTAGCGCATCGATTTGCTTTCGAAACCAGTGCCTCCCGGTTACATAACGATACACTGTCCTACCACAATGAGCCATGGCGTCTCTTCAGTTAAACGGAGGACATAGTAGATGTGAAAGTGCCTCTGGTGGACTCGACGGGTCGGGTCTGTCCGATATCAATGTTCCAGTGGTTAACTCATAGCATGCCATGAGGCTTCATGCACGCTACCATTATAGTGCTTTGTACCTGCGAGCTAACCATTGATTCACTGCCATGTGCGTGCAAGCAAGCATTCGTAATAGCAGTTATTGTTCATGCTATTGGACTGTGCTGTGTGTTTTGCACGCGCTATTCGTAGAACCATCGCGTTAATCAGATTATCTCCAAAACAACCTGGCACGGGGGGATTTGGGCTTGGCACAATGGGGATAAGGGTTAAAGAACTGCTAGTGGTGTCTCCACCGTCATAGGTTTCTTCGTTGGGACACAAGTATTAATCCACCCCTTCCTATCAGTAGGATATTGATGGCGGATCAATTGTAGCTGATGCATCCAGTCGTGGACCACAATTAGTCTTAAGACGCGATAGATGCCACCTGTTGAAGAAGTGCCTCTGGAGGATTCGGTGATGACGTGGGTGTGCCTGCTGTCACTGTTGCAGGAGTTGAGGAACCGCTGGGGGTTTCTCCACCGCCGAAGGTTTCCTCGTCGGGACACAGGTATTGATCCACCTCTTCGTAACCTTTCACCATCAAGCTGTAGGTGATCAGATTTGTCAAGCTTATGGCGGTCAAGACGAGGAAATAGTAGTTGAGATGTCCATCGTTGATCTCTTGTGGATACCATGGGTCAGCTGAAAATGAAAATATTGATAATGGAAATAATAAAAAGGTGGCTTCTTGGATCTAGCGCTGTAGTCTGTCAGGACGTTTCTGGCGCTTCAACATTATTATCGTAGTCGAGCTGCCAAATGTGCAACGCATCGGATACCCATTTACACCTCACGGAGAAAGGCAAACGTGGGTTAATGCCGTATTGTCATAGAACGTTAGTGTCAGGCTGGGTTTCAAACCCTCTCCCTTTAGACTGAGAGTCAAGTGAATGAATCAACCGTTATACCACAACACATCCACAAGGTGATAATTATGTAGAGGTGTCGTGGTCGAGTCGATACGTCACCGGACTGTCGATCACAAGGTCCGCGGTTCGAGTCCCGCCGCTGCACTAATGTCCTTTGGCAAGACATTTGTATCGAAATATTGAAAGGGGCTCAACAATAAACTTTAGAGAGCAATTTTTTTCTTATGTGTATATATAGGTGCCACATTGGGTTGTATAGGGAAATTGGTCGGTTGTCCCCTTATCTACTACTGCAATTGGTCTTGATAATGGTTATGGGAGATGGCGATCTGAATAAAAAAAACAAAAACAAAAAAACAACAAAAAACAAACGCCTTTGGCCAGTGTGATGTAGTGGACCCAGGCGCCCGTTCCATAAAATTCCCCATTCATGGTAACTTCCATGGTAACCTCGCATTTGCCATGAAAGTTGATATTGATTGCAATATTACTATCAATAGGGTCTATATCGTAGTTAGCACATTGTACTTATTACCCCAAATATCCACAAATCTTTGTAATATTTGTGGTGAAGTCCCAACATGTGCCTAACTATAAGTAATTACTTTCAAAGTAATGGGGATGATTCATGAATACCTTTTGTCTCTCCCCTTGTAAAGCATACGTTCACCTATGTTTCACAGAATTTAATATTGGTGTATACATGAATAATGACTACCGTAATTTTTATGACCACGTATCAAGTTTTCTTCTCCGTGGGTCCATATTCTACAGAAATTTAAACGCGATGCTGGATTAGGATTAAGTCCTAAATCGCTTTAACAAAAGAAGCTAGTTTGAGGTCAGAGTCTTCCTGTTTGTGGTAAGGAGACCTTATACCCGGCAGTCCCACCAATAGGACCGACACAAGAATGAATACAGAAACATCACATTAGCTCCAATGGTCAAACAGCGGTCGGTTTCGAGCGGGTTTGACGGTGTGACTGAAGTATACCAGTGTACAATAAAGGTTATCAAATACCCTGGACGGGATCAAAAGTTTGGAGATGGGATTCAGTCATTTTTGTTTTTACCTGCCGTGATGTTGTTTATAAGAGGAACGATAAGTGCGGCCACGATACGCCCAATGGTTGCGTAGAAGAAGAAAATGCCGGTGGCGATTGCCTGCATGGTGCAGGGAGCTTGCCTGAAAGCGAATTCCAAACCTTAAAAAAAGAAGATGAGATTTATTAGGAATTAGGAAAGAATTATTAAGGAAGGAGAATAAGGATACAAATAATAACAAAAATTAGAACTCCTTATATTACCGCTACCCCCTCCCCCCCCCACCAAGCATATATGTATCGTCTAACCTTCTCGTCCCTTTTCACTACTTCTCCCCCTCTTGTTTAGAGGGGATGGGGTTAAGTGCCTGAAGATATTTCCTTTGAACAGCGTCAGCAAGAGAGTTACTTATAATTTTACAAAACCACCAGTCGCAACCATGATCGACATCTTGCGGAATGATTGCATCGGAAGTGGGATCCCAGGTGACTAGAAGTATTAAAGGACTCGAAAACTTTAACAAGAACTTTTAAATGAAAAACATCCCTCCATTCGTTTTAATTTTGTTGAACTCGTTATTAATTGCCAATGTTAATAACGGCATCTTGTAGAGAGCTCATATCTCCGTCACGCTGGGATAACCAATGACTTCGATATATAAATTAACCCGGTCACAAAATTAACTAGCGATCAAGGGCTTTTATCAAGGACGTTACTAGTGCCGGGCTGGGATTACAACTCGACTGAATGATGACAAGTGATTTAAATGCATGAACTACCATACTACCATCCCAAGTTTGAAATTGCGGCGCTAGTTCAGAAGTCTATCCAGACTTTGACCCGGAACTCCGGCGTGGGGATACCCTACCAAAACATACCGAAAATCGACTAAATCTTCATCAATAATGGTCATGATTTAAAAGTCGTTAAGTTTCTTACCTGTTTTGTGTCAATTTTCTTATCTTTTTTTGACCGAAATTGCTTTTGATAGGCGTAAGCAAGGAACTTACTTGTGATGTATATGAAGACATCAGCCGTACCAATAAGAACAAACTGCGGAATGAGGACATCGAGTGTCAGGGTCGAAGCGACAATGGTTTGGTTGTTGATCTCCTGGACGAAGGAGTCGCCTCGCTCGATGAACATCATCCGAGCCGTCTCAACGATGGCGGCGCAAAAGACAGACAGCGTCGCCAAGATGATGCCGAGCACTGAAATAATTAGGATTAGGGTTAGGGTTAGGTTCAGATATAGTGTTGGGTCCAGGGGTGCATAGGGATTCGTTTAGTGTAAGAAGTTACCATGGAGCACGTGTCGTACAACTCTTTTAACCAATACTATATCTACTACTACTTTTACAACAATTACTGCTACAACTATTACAATTCTACCCATACTACTACATTTTTTATTATTTGTATACTACTATAACTACTGCTACTATCATTACTACTACTACTACTACTACTACTACTACTGCTATTTCTACTACATCTACTACTACTACTACTACTACTACTACAAAAACTACTGCTGCTGCTACTACTACAACTACTACTACTGTTGTTACTACTAATACTACTACTACTACTACTACTGATACTACTATTATTGCTACTAGTATTACGTGATGATAATATGTATGATAATGATAATCATAATGATGATGATAATAATAATAATAATAATAGTGATAAAAATAATAATAATATGATAAGAATAACAATAATAATGATAATAATACTAATGATAATGATAATAGCTATGATAGTAATACTCACTGATTCTCTTCGCCATCGTCAGTGTGGTAAATTTTGTACTGATGTAGGGGTAGATGTAAACATTAACGACAGGGGTGATAGCGATGCCTACCAGAGGCAAGCATTGCTGAAGGAGAGAGGGGCTAATATTTTGCCCTAATATCGACGGCTTCATCCGCATCGCCTGACTCACATAGGACGTGCCAATCTAGAGCATTGAAAATGGCAATGACAATTTATATCATTTAATCATGTCTTTTTCCCTTAAGCTTAACCCCCATCACACCAAACTAGTTCTCTTTACATGTACGTTCTGGAACCATTTTAATCACAACCATTTTTTAATGATAACAAGGATTTCTCTATCGATTAATTTTAAGCAGATGAAATTGGATGGTAACTACATAATTTGATATCAAAGAAACACACCTTTCCAAAGCTATTTTAATGCATGTTACCTTATGTTTAACTCAATAATGCATGTCCGTGATTAGCTGTACAGGATAGCGCGCGGTACGCCTTCTGCGAGACGCACAACTAATAGTTTGGTGGGTATTTCAGTATAATCCAGGCAGGTCATATCTCTATTAACAATGTCCCTACTGCAGGCCTTATAATTATCATTACCACATCATTTCCAGGTACATGTTTTTGATACACCTAGGTCGAAAGAGACAAATATGGGGAAAATACTTTGTTCGAGCATAATTACCACCGAGCAAGGATCGAACCCGAAACCTCTCGTATTGCCAATATACCATAAAGGATTCAAGACCACCAAAATGTGTAACGGAAAGGAAATAACAGCGTCGGTAACTCTTATACAGGCAGAGATCCGGATTTGATTTAAGGCAGAGTGATGTTAAAGAATTTGCATTTCTTTGCATAATATAGAGAAATGAAAAGGAGAGGATGTACATAACTATATCTGTGAAATAAAATGACTGTAAGGTAACGCTCGAAACAAATTCCTTTAAAAGGACACCTTGAAGACAACCCTTAAATACGAAACAATGAACAAAATAATAAACAAAATGATAACCAAAGGCAAAAGGAAAAACACTAACCTGGTAACGCATGATACTGTACGGTACTTGGCAAGAGAGAAGCAACATTGCGTAACCGACCCACAAACAATGGCGGAATGACTCAGAAAGAATTTCGGTAGACGTAGCTAGCTCAGACTGTTCAGTGCTTCCGTAAGTAGTTGTCGTTGTTGCTGAATTGATGGTAGCGGATCTTTTCTTCAAGGCATTTCCTGACAGGTTAGGCGTTGTAGGCGGCTTAGCTACGGTTGTTATAGTGCTTCCGTTGTTATTTATTGTGTAAGCTGGAACGTCGTTAGAGGATGTGTCCTCCGACTCAATTCTTGAAGCGTTGGCTGACATGTCAGGTTTCGCTACGGACAGTTCGATGCTTTCGTAGGTAGTTGTCGTGGTTGCTGGATCGGTAGTTGAGGATTTGTCCTTCGATGATGATGATGATGATGAAGATGATGATGGCTTCACTAAATCTGTACCGTTAGCAGATGTCGAGATGTACTTTGGAGCGCACTCACAAAGGAGCTGCATACTTTCTTCATCGTCAGATTGGACGGAAGAGCAGAGATTGGGGCAACAGCTGCAGTGGCAAAATGTGGAGCACGTTGCAAGCTTACTCTTTATTTCATGGGCTGCACATGCCAGGATCGAAGCAGCTGCATTTCCTTCTGTTAACCAGCAAGAGAAGTAAAGAGAAGAGTAGTTAATTATTCTCCAACGCACAACCATAACCTATATACGCCTTTATCCACACAACACCCTCGTCATAACCGCCAAACCGAAAGCCTCACAGGAATTACTTACAATTAAACATACATTCCAAAAAACGGTGATTTTTTTTTGACAGTGGTTGCAACGTCAACACCATGATGAGCACATTACATACCGATTAAACCACTTGCAATAATGAGTACGTATACAAAAAAAAAAACCAATCCCCGATGATGATCGCCAAACAAAAAAGGACGATTGCAAAGGTGTTTTAATCTAAAGGAGATGACAAACCACACCAAGCAGAGAGACAGAAAGAGAGCGAGAGAGAGAGAGAGAGAGAGAGAGAGAGGAAAGTTCTGTAGGCTCTAGTCTAAATCGTTTGGGTCTGGCCTGTTCAGTGGTACAACCCCAAATGGTGCACTATGTCAAAAGAGAGGAAATTCAAGCTGCTTTGATGGATTGTGAGTTTGTTTTTACCTGACTGCTAAGAAAGCAATTACATACCGACACATTTTATTTATTAAGAAGAGGAAAGGGAAGAAGCATAAACGTGTAAGCAACCACAGGACTCAACTCACTGTCAGGGATGCTCTGACGAACCTCAGTCCGGACATACTTGAACAGCAGCATGGTGAAGATGTTGAAAGCTACAGTTGACAGGTATCCACATAAGAATGACACGTTGAGCTGGACAAAGGACAAACCTGTCAAGGCTAGAAGAGGGGCGCACTGGATTGCTATGTAAATGCTACAAAGAGACAGATGGTTTAATAGAGGAAAGAGGAAAATAGAGATTTGATCCAATGTAATTCGGCATTTTGGAAAGTTACTGTGAATTTAGGTGACACTGATAAACACGATAAATATAATCTGTACAGACTATGGATTGCTGTAGCTGCTGAAAGAATGGATCCATAGGGTACGTGGTTGAAGGTATATTTTATCTCGTGTTCAATGTGAACATTGTGCATGAAAATTGTTTTGTCACTGTTTTGTGAATAACTTCGGGAGCGTAAAACTACGTAGTGGGGGGGGGGGGGGTGGAGAAGGCGTAGCCCAGTCGAAGGGGGGGGGGGGGAGAGGAACGGGGAATTAGAGAAATGAAATGGGAGAGGAGGAAGTAACGTTAACAGAAGACGATGATCCCTCCATATCCCACACCTTATCCTTTCCCTCTCTCGACCGACTTTATTTAATCGCATGCCATTTACCTATAATATATGTCATCTGCCCCCATAATAAATGAACAAGTGCCCCTTTAATGGCTTGAGCCACGATACGTCACTTATATAATTCAATTATTTAAAGAAATCAGACATTAGGTTCTGAATCCATAACATTCATCATCGCCATGTCGGGAAAACCTCAATAACTCACTAGTGAAAGCAACTTTGGACGCTCGCACTTCCATACTTCTCGATCTGCCTCGCCGCGAAGGGAGGCGAAGTCGCTTGGATGCCACACACGCCTAAGCCTGTGACGATTCGGGCCGCATAGAAGAATATACGACGAATTGGAACAGATATCCCATATGTAGGACCAATGATTGACCAGTTGAACGTAAGCAAAGGTAAGATACAGGTTCCTGGAAGTAAACATAAGAGCGAATTAAAAATCTCAAACATTTTGGATAATTTATTGGATTCTTCTTTTGGATGCACTTGCACGTTCTTGTCGCACCATGCCCACAAAATTACAACAAAAGTTACATGGAACATGGAAAACAGAAAACAGATATTCCAAAATGAATAATGGGAGATGTGAGTTGGTCTAGCGGTACGTTCGCTTGGTCAGCTCTCAGTCTTCGCCTACACAGCCGGACCCCGGTTCGAAACTGGGTCGCGTCTTTCGGATGGTGACGTTAAAGGTCGGTCCTAAACGTAAACAATCATGTCTGCATGTACACGTCTGTAAACACTTAATTACACACACACACACACACACACACAGAGATAAAAATCGAAAAAGAAAGAAACAATGATCGGAGACGGAAGGACAAAATTGAGAATAGGTAAGAAGGAAGGTATCTGAAAAAAGCGGATGAAACGAGAGGAAGATGAATAAAACAGGAACATTAACATGATTAAAAAAACGAATTTAAAAGGCAGCAAAAATATACGAATAGGAAAAGGGACTTGTAGAAAGAGACGAAGTAGATAAGGCAGTAGAAAAAGAAAGAGAAGAAGACGAAGAAGAAGGAGAAGAAAAAGACGAAACGGAAGGAGAAGAAACTGAAGGAGAAAAAGACGAATAAGAATGAGGAAGATGAGGAGAGAACAGTGATAATGAAGTAGAAAAAGAGGGAGGCAGAAGCAAACAAAGAATAATAAGAAAAAAGAAAAGATATAAACTACTTTTCGCAATTTGGAAGACGTGTTTTTTTCAATAGCGTGGTAGAAAGGTTTAAGACCGGAATACAAATTTCATTTTCCTACCAGTAGTCCGGCAGCCACTGAGCTACACCTCGTTTTGTTGAAATAAGTTTTTTTCTTGATGGATTCTGTTTCCTTAGGCATTGCAGATGACGAAACAGAAAACTGGAGCTTTGTCAGTGTTGAGCAATTTAAGATATGGCCAAAAACAAAATGGCCGCCAAAATAGTCTATTTTCAGTAAAATTTGAATTATTTCATAATACATTCCAAAATATTGGCAGAATGGTGTGCTTATAATTCATGGAGACCATTGTCAACACATTCCTGATGACCATACATGAACATAGATGACCATAGATGACCTAATTAGCATATTTTCCATTGTAATTGTTGCTAATTTGCATAAAATGGCGGATAAATACCAGCTGTTAAGTTTAGAATCACAATAAAATAGAATTATACTCATTTCTTTCTATCTTATGTTTTTAATTCTTAGAATACCCAAGTGTACCAAATACTGTCATACTCATTTGTCAATAATTACTAATTTAGATAATGGGAAAAACAAAATGGCCACCAAAATGATAAATTTTAAGCAACATTTGCCATAAGTATTATACATTACGGAAATTGGCAGATTAGTATACTGGTACTTCATGAATCAGAGATGAATTGATTTGGATATTTGACTTTAGGCTGTTGTATGTTTGCTCATTTACATATTTCAAATGGCGGCAATGTTAGTTTATCACACAATATCTATCAATAGTCTATATGTATATCAATTACAGATCTGTCTCTGATGGGCGACTCCATTATCAAGGGTGACTGAAGGCCTTGCTTTTGGTAGAAATATGAAGCAGAAGAACATAAACATCTGTGTCGTCTGCAAACACCCTGATGGATCGTCCTTCATCTGCAAGCATGATAGCCTGCTGCACAATAATCACATCAGCCTCCTCATGAGATGTGGCCATATCGTGCCGTTGGATTGGAACACCACCTGGACCTAGTTGAACAGGAGTGCCATCTTGGCTGGTGATCACAAGCTTGTGTTTTATGATAAAACCAGCATCGCCTTGCAGATTTTGACAAATGATGTTAATCAACTGTTTCTTGTTCTCTGTGACTGTCAGAGTCAGTTTCTGAGACGGGAGGGGTGAAGTTGGACTCAGTCTGCAACCATCATTGCCTCTCGATATCCTGGTTGTACACTTGGTACTGTAATCATTGACCTGTCAAAGACCAAGTACACATCACCGGATTTTAGTCTCTCTTCAATCTTGCCTTTGAATTTCGATACAAAGTCCATCACTGTTGGTTGTCGTGTTGGTGATGATGAAGGCCAATTAGGAATCCAAAGGAGAGCACATCCATCGATCACTCTACACGTTTCTTCAAGTGTCGCGTGTCTAGCTGATACTTCAACCTTTGTCTCTGGTTCTTCAAAGCGGCCTTGGACTTTGAGATATCCATACCTCCAGACTCATCAAACAGAGCTGTAGGAACTGGCGACAGCTCGCATGACATGACATCATGAAATTCAACATCTCTGGAACTTGCTTGTAGACCTATCACGCGAGAGTATATCAACTTGGTATCGTATACCTTGGAATCGCCTACGTCAATTCTGACAATTGATTTCTTCATGACAGCCATGGTTTGAACTTTCTTCGAAATTGTGTCGTAGAAACCTCCAGGCAATTTCCGTTCAAATTCACCCATTTGCTGAGCACCAGTTTCAACTACTCTGTCAACATTCACTGATTCAGGAGCGATCTGTCCATTGACCAATGCAAGATATCAAACTACCGGATTTTATGAGTTACGATCTACCTATGGCACGCCACAGCCGTCATAATTGGTCGAGTTTACACAAAAGCAGTCGACTCTACAAAAAACTCGACCAATTATGACGGCTGTGGCGTGCCATATCTACCAGCAAGATATCAAACTACTAGTTTTTATGAGTTACGATCAAATGAAACTTTGGTGGAGAAATACAAGCCATGGAAGAAAATCGGAACAAATATGAAAGTCATTATAAAAAGTGGATAAAAAGTTGATATACAAAACGAAATAAGATATACATGTACAATGAAAATGAACCTAAAGACCTTGAAACCATGGAGAAAATGAATCCTCAAGAGAACAATGAAAGGAGGGACTACGTCAGAATTCTGATTGCGGGTGCGCCATGTGAGAGAGTGAGAGAGAGGATTGAGGAGTCCTGAAAAGGACCCTGACTCGGTTGTCTTTCTTGGGGTGTGTATGGTAATAGTTTAGTCACAAAACTTACCTTTGGGTATCACTCACTATCCATATCTATTAACTCCCACCTTAAAGAGCTCAAAACTTGTAACGCATTAATTCTGACCACCCGGTAGGTCCAATTAAGTTCGGCAAAAATTACGTGTCTAAATTTGTGCCGGAAAAACACAACATTTAGGTTATTACACAATTATAAATTGATAACGACGATCCCGCGGACTTTCGAGAAACCAATAACTTCAAGATTTTTGACCAAATTCTTTTGAAAAATGCGAACATTGCGATGACGTATCACGTCAGCTGAATATTATTTCTATTAAGTATCCAAAAGGGTTTTGAAATGAACCTTCCGTTGGTTCCCCGACGAAAAAAAAAAGGGCAATCATGCTGATAATACTTGACCACATCAATTACTCACCTTAGAGGCTTAGAGTATTCGAATGCATGTATTTATTGTTGCTCTCTGAAGTTTAAAACTGGCCATACGATAGACTAATATTGCTCCTTGGTGATCATTATGGAGGGGGTTGCAAAAGAAGAAGAAAAAAAAGGGGGGGGAGCGTGCATCCTATGAAGGATGGACCTACCTATAAAGCAGAATTTTCCGTAGATATGCATGGCTGTGGAGTAACCTCCAAACCAGTCCGTAACACATCCCGTCAGCAGATAGAACGCGGCATCGATTCCCATGACGACCAGGTTCGTCTTCTCGACGTCGTGGCCGTCGTAGTGCAAGAACTGCTGCCCGAAAATGGCGATATTGGTTACGATGGCACAAGCGATGAACGTCGCTGCAAAGTCACCGAATAGGATACAGGCGATGTTTACTATGACCCCCTGCGGGATGACTGTCCCGTCGGCCGTGGTCGTGTCACCGCTCAGCATGTCTTCGATGCCGTCGATTGTGTCCGAAATGGCACCGGATTGGGCGACTGCGGGGACAGGTATATCCTGTTCGATCACAGATTCTCCGTTCTCCACGTCGTCCTCGACGTCGTTCTCCACATTACCCTCGACATCATCGAACTTGGTTTCCATCGAAGATATCGACAATGATGATTGGACCGAACCAAGTATGCCGTCGTCGCCAGTGGCCATGGTTTCACAGAATTGTACGGTTTTATGAAGAAAATATCTGGTTTTGTCCACGAAGAAAGTAATGATACTTCAAGGCAACGGTGAGTTTATCTTAAATTTCTTCCTTAGTCAGAGGAAAAACTTGCATGAAACTGAAGAAAAAATATGTTTTCTTCTATCAATCGTCGTCTTCGATCAATTCGATAGGCTGTAGTCACAGGTATAAGCCCTACTAATATCTGCAGTGGTCATTGTTGGATAGCATGTTTCATAGAATCTTGCGTTTTAATAAAGAAAATAATGGTCGACTGCACCTAGCTAGATTGTGATGATAATTTCTTAATCTCTCTTCATAAAATCAGATGCACAACTTGCAGGAGCCTTATAAAATATTTCTTCCTATATCAATCTGCATATCCAATCATATCCATGAGCTGTAGTCACTTCAACTAGTCAGACTGGCTGTAGTCACAAGTTTACAGACGTCTGAATTGATTATTGTTTCAAATAATGTATCGTAGAATAAGTTCGTATTCTTTCGATAACACAATATATGCACACATAATCTATTCCTGGTTTCTTCAACCCTCCTCTTGGCAACAGTCCACTTCCTGTCCTAATTCCAGCACCTGAAGCTTCTCAATTCTTTTTTGAGATTTCCCCTTAGTCTTAAAGTTGTGAAATGCATACTACCAGGTAGATCCTACAAAATGATACAAAGAAAGTACCCCTCGAAATTTGGCCCTTTAACGTAATAAACTCTACTTGACATCATAAAAAAAATGTCAAAGAGATATAAGTAGATATACCAAGTACCAGTAACTTTAAAGGGAAAGTGCATCATTAAAGGTAAATACGTGCATGCTATAATAACAACATATCATTTACATACCAACAAATTCTCACCCGGAAAACATGAAATCATTTACTCAATTTAATCTTGGAAGCACAATAATTCTTGGTGGCTTTCTAAATATTTCAAATAGCGGGTGGTAAGTCAGGACAAAGATTGTATTCAGTTTAAAACTCGAAAACTCAAATACTTCGAGGTAACGCCGACACCTTTCTTTATTAAGAAGAAGAAGGAAAAAAAAAGGAATCATTAACAGCTGTACAATAAGGTTTTACAAAAAAAATTCTTCTGAGAGTAATAGTCGAATACATTTATAGGTAATTGAGGTAAGATTTAATACATAACAGAGCTTAGAAGAAAAAAAACACCACTAATTACATCACTTTGATGTATAATTACGTCATAGGCATACTTAGAATATAATTACATACATATAATTGCTCCAGTTTTATCTAAAATTCTTTGTTTGTCTATGAATCGAGATATTGATGTATTTCATATTACTTCAATAATAATTAATAATGATAATGATAATTATGGTCATGTTTACCTAGGGTAGCCTCATCCGTGGCAAATATGGAGTACTGTCTTGCCATATGACGTCAGTGTCGGGCTGGGATTCGAACCCTTAATCCTTGGATACAGGGTCAAGTGAGTGTACCACTATACCATGGGACCCCTACACCTTCAATGTCGATTGCTTTCCGGCTTACAAATAATTTCATGTTTTATAAGAAATACTCAGAAAGGTACTCGAACATTCATTATAACTCAACAATTACTGTTGGGGTGATTATGGAATTGATTAAAAGAAACGGATATCACATTAGAGTAACAACCTTTGAGATCTTTTGTTTTGATTTTTTTTTTAGCCCAAAGAAAAGCTGTTATATAGCCCGTGAGACCGGCTCATCAGTCTCGTGGGCCGTCGGTCTTGTTTGTAACTTTTAGATAACTTTTCAGAAGCACCGCATTAATAATCGACTTTGTCGGGCTCATGGACTCGAAAGAATGGAAGCAAATTTGAAAACAAGAACGACATCTACTTGAAGTGAGAGCTCTTCAGGATAGTATGGCCCCGCCCCCCCCCACTCAGTGTTATTTAGGGTACGCATATGCTTGTTCCCTCTTTTTGAAAGCACCCCCTATCTGAGGACTGCCAACATTTCCGAACCCCCCTTTTGCGGGCTTTTCCTGCCGTGGAGACCCCCCTCAATCATGAAAAATGCTCAATGTACCCCCCTAAATTCGGAATAATTTCTCAGGAGTCCAAAGAGATGAGATAAAAAAAAAGAAAGAAAAAAAAAACCCTTTTTAAAGAAATCTCCGGGTGAAAAGTTAATACACCCCCTTTTTTTTTTTACAATTCTCGGGCCGGACTTTGTCGTACGAAAAGTACCCCTTTACCGGACATTTTGGTAACACGCATGGGGTCCGTCCGTTCTCGGAGTTGGGGGCCGGGAGTATGACCACGCGTAAAGTTATGTAAATCCTAATTCCCGCATAGTTAGTGCAGGACTACCTATCAATCATATCTGTGTTCATAGAGTTTTGCCAACTTCGTTTCAATACGTCACCTTATGGCGTAGAGCCTATATTATGGTTTGTGCTTGCCCAAACAAAGCAGTATTTGGCATATTGTGCCCAACTCGAACTCGGTTGGCCAACCTCTCGTAATAAATGATAACAAGTTCGTCTAGTTACCTCAATTAAACTCTTCGAAAACAACCACCTACTATTAAAAAGAATTTTCTAAAATTTCCATTTTCACCACATAGCAAACATTTTCCCCCAAAGCAAACATTTTTTTCACACCTCTGCCATTGACGTATCATTGAAGAAATGTTCTCCCTCTCCAATAAATGTATATATTGCTTCATAAATAGCCACAAAGAGGACATTTGGGCTAACAAGAGCTGCTTGTAAGGTAAGCATTCACAATTGCTCTTTCTGGCTTGCGGGTTTAATCGACCAATACAAAATATTAATCCCCCCCCAAAAAAAAAAAAAAAAAAAATAATATACCGAATTATTTTTGTTTGTCTTTTATAAAAAGAAAAATACATGAACGTGATGAGATGACGAGCTTTCCTTTAATCATTATTTTGGTTGTCGAGCAGTTCGATTTTCATAAAGTTATGCTGATGACGTGATAGATGACACAGGTTGAGGGAGAGGCATAACTATATTGGTGTTCGCTGAAATTGTTACAGAGGGTGTCGTCGCCGTCGTCGTCGCCGCCGTTGTCGACCCGTCAATTGTGTCTTCGTCCAGGCATAGATATCCATCGACGACCTCGTAACCTTTCTCCATCATGAAGAAGATGATGAGATTGGTCAGGCTTATGGCGGTCAGGACGAGGAAATAGTAGTTGAGATGTCCATCGTTGATCTCGTACGGATACCATGGGTCAGCTGTATTAAAGAACAATATTATGTGAAACTATTATTGTATCAGCATGAATCAGACAGCATTTTGTCTCGAAGGAATGAAGATTATACAACTAAAAATTAATTGTGGATATCTTGGCATTGTAAATGTATTATTATCATTTATATCATTATTAATGATATTATTAGTATCATTACGATGAAGGTGATGATGATTATGATATTATTGTTAGCCTGTCATGGGGTCTCCTGTTGAAAATATAGACCGGTAGTGGTAAAATTGCGGTTCAAGGGTTTTGGGTGCAAAATATCCATTCAATATTGTTTAAATATTGCCGTCAGATGTTTAGATGGCAATACTTCAACCTAAAATTCGCAAAAAACAGAAATATATGCCCAAATGTCCAATGTAGAAGTGTATTCGCGATATCTATCGAGGCCGGATCAGTTTGATAATTTACCAAATGAATCAATTAGTAGGCGGTTTCCCGACAAAATTGGTATCATCACGTATTAGTCAAAACATATTCTTTCACATGATTGGTAATACGAGCTTCCATTATATTTTTTAAGAGGGGGGGGGGGGGTTTCCGGAACTGGTCTATACCTTTAAACGTACAATCTCCTTAGTGTTGACATGTATACAGTTCTTATGTTTAAGCTGCCTACTGCCTCGTCATAGACCTACCCACCCGCCCACATACACATCACTTGCTACGAAGAAGATGCTTTAACGGAGGAATACAGTTATTGACGATAATAGGGACTTGCGTGGACTGATACATGTGACGTCCATTCAAGGTAGTGCATTAAAAGGACGTCGATCGTAGCAATCCACGTCGTCGTTGTGCAAATCTAAAAGTCCCTTATAATACATGTACAGTTACCTGCCGTGATGGTGTTTATGAGAGGTACAAGTAATATGGCAACTATCCGCCCAGTTGCCGCATAGAACAAGAAGATTCCCGTCACAATAGACTGTATGTTGCACGGAGACTGCGTGAAAGCGAATTCCAGACCTTTGGAAGAAGACAAGATCAGGGGGTGTTTCACAAAGATCCTAAGTTGAACTTAAAAATTATGGAAAGCCATTAGCATCCTTGAAAATATTTTTTTTAAAGTTATTTTAAAAGGCATAACATGTTAATTCATATCATTCATTTTTCTATTATCATGGAGATTTCATGTTCTTGATGAGGAATTTATAAACATTCTAAAATACTTGAATTTTCACTTTTTAATATATTTTATTTTAAAGGCACTATGTCCCATTTGCAGGCCAAAAAAATGAAAAGGTTAAATTCCAACTGCATTTGAAAGATAATACTAATTTAGAACTTCTCTACGAAAATGTCTTCAAGTGGGAAAATAACGACTATTAGTTGTCAAATCGACTTTAGGGCTATAGAGCCCAAAGTAATAGTCTTGGTTTTCAGACAATTGTACTGAATGGTCATACGTTTTATGCTGCGCAAAGATTCAATCAGTTTAATCTTGGCCATCACAAGAAATGGGTTATTGATGTAGACAAATGCTCATGTACCCTTTACAACTCTTTTCATGTATGTTATTACCAAAGAAGAAAAAAAGCCAGTCAGTCACTCAATAGTGTCTGACAATTAAGTCTAGCAAGTAAACGGGTTTCCTTGCATAATTTGAATATGAGGACACTGCTAACGTTTAAATTTCACAGATAGAACATACATGACATATTCATAATTCTTGCAAAGTTCTACGGCATTTGAGGTTGGCTACAAAAGGGACATAGTACCTTTAAGGCTACAAATGGCTCTCCTTAGTATTTAAGTCCAACGTAGAGTTTTTTTGGGGGGATGGGGTGGGGCACGTGTCCCCCCCCGTGTCCGCCCCGTGCCCCCCCTCCCCCCCCCGTGACTACGGTTAGCCTGGTTAGCATAGTGGCAGCAGTGGGATATGATATTGCCTGCGGTCATCCATGGTGGTTTTACTTCACATTGGTCCTACTAACCGGTGGCGTAACGTCACCCTTGAACCCAACACTATACCTCATGATAGACATAAAACCTAATCGCAAGTGACATTTTCTCCAATATCTAGTTTGCTAGCGCTATTGCATATCGAAAATTCATATGGAAACTGAACCGCAAACCATTATGTTCTATGTTTCCAGCTCTCGTTTATCCCTTAATATTCATTTCTGACGATAGGTGGAACGGTTGATTCCGTATCAAAAGTATAAAGTCGGTCTCTTGAGGTTCATGTGGAAAAAGAAAATGCGACCGCTACCTAGTGTCGCTCCTGAAGTAATAGTAGTGGTGGTTATTTTACCTGATTGCTAAGAAAGCATTAATGCTTGTTTGTAAGCAACCTATCTCATCGGAAACTCAAATGTACAATTATAATATTTGTATAGTATTGTTATGGTTATCGTTATATGGTGATATGGGACCGGTCCTTATTTCGTGAATTGTTTTCCGATGTATTAAGACGGTAATTGTGAATTGCGCCCTCTTGCCACCTACCGGAGATGAAAATAAAGACATCGGCCACTCCCATGAAAAAGTACTGCGGGATGAGAAAATCGAGTGACAGGGTCGAAGCGACGACGGTTTGGTTGTTGATCTCCTGGAAGAAGAAATCGCCTCGGTCGATGAACGTCAGTCGGGCTGTCTCCACGGTGGCGGCAGACAGGACAGACAGGGTGGCTAAGGCGATACCGATGACTGCAAGGAAAAATTTAATATGTTGATGATCAGTCAGACAGCCGTGTTTTTGAGGACAACGAATGTCCTTCGTTAACGGGACATGTTTTTACATCAGTGAACATGTGTCAACTTTTCGTGGCTCAACATTCATGCGTTTTCACTGTTGGGAAACTTGTCTTTTTAAAGGGGGAAATCCGATTGTCCTCCACAAACGTCTGTCTTCCTTGACTGATGGTGATGATGGTGATGAATAGAGATGCTCGTGTACCCGAGGGTTAGTAACTATTAGTAACGATGAATAAAAAAAAAAACATGAATTTGATTTGTGATAATATACATAGTCACACACCCACTATCAGCAATAATATTGATGATCACTATAATTGTTCTTATTGGAAGCTTTTTCTCATTTTATAAAAAGTGGAGTAATTAAATCCAATATATGATATATAAACCCAAATGAAATCATGAATTAACTCTACCAGCCTCTGAAGAATGTTGTCAATTGTCGGCATTAAGGGCTGGTTAGACATTTTTCTCTCACGATACATAAAGCAATAACGAAGTTTTCAATTGAAGTAAGTCGTCTTTATAACCAGCATCTTTAATGATGGAATCAGACTATATGATGTACCTTTTACATCTTGTTATATCTTAAGAGTAATCGTTCTGTGTGATCAGCCTTTTGTGGTAACATAATCTGTCTTTCGAGGAAATAATTAATTATTTATTTTATTTTACTTTCTAGCATTAAAACAACAGGAAAGTTGAAAATGACAAGAAGCATACACAACACAATATGTACATTAGATACAATATCAAATATTATACAAATACAAAGAAACAAAGAATACCAAAAAAAGGCAGCACCCCCCCCCCCCCACAAGAAAATGGGGGGGGGGGGGCTATATGAAGATGAACAAGAAAGTTACGATAACTAGTGTAATATCTATAATGATAAAAAAAAAAAACACAATTTAAATCACATTACGCAATCAAGATGTACTTACTGATTCGATTGAGCGTCGTCATTGTGATGAATCGTTTACTAACGTATGGATAGATGTAAGTGTTAACGAGAGGAGCGAACGCGATCCCTAGCAAGGGGAGATATCGCGCTAGGAGGGATGGACTGACAGCTTGGCCCAGAATGGTCGGCTTCATGCGCTCCGCCTGACTTACGAAGGATGAGGTAACCTAGTGACAAATGGAAATGGTTAGAATGGTATTGAATATATGATAATAAGGTTAAAACTAGTATGGCGACTGAGAGTAAAATATCGTTTTCTTATAGTCCCATGAAGTAAAACAAATAAAGGGAATTTTCCGATCGCTCCGCCCCTCTACCTAATGTATGAGACATGCTCGGGTGGCAAGCGCTCCGTAAAGTCAGGTTGTAACTCGGATCAATATTATTGTCTAACTTCAAATCTGCACTACCTTTATACCCAGGGGCGTAAATCCGTACCGAGGAGTGGGGGGGGGGGGGGAATGATCGGTGATAGCCATCACATACTAGCACGAGCACACGCCCACACTAATTTACGCAAGCGCGCGCGATCGCGCACGCACAAACACACAACACACACACACACACACACACCCACAACAAACACACACATACCCAAACACATGTACATCAATTTATACATGCATACATACATGCACGCACATGCCAAATTTGACAACCATAAAGTAAAAGAATGGGACATATATTTCGAAATAGTGACAGCTGCAAACTGTAGTGTTTTATTATAATGAACTCCGAAATAAGACGACACACTTTCAAGAAGTAACATAAAGATTGAGTATTTCGTCAGGAAGATATGAACTCTTTATTTTGAGTCCCATCACTTAGAAAATGATGTATAATGGTAAGGGGCGTCGCTAGACCTTTTTTAGTGGGGGGGGGGGGGCTGTAGAGGCCAACGATTACCGACAAAACTAGCCCCCAATTACCGACAAAATTAAATGTCCCAATATTTACAAATTTAACCCTATATACCCGGGGCCGAAGGCTAAATTGTTTGTCCTACGGACTATCTACAGTACTTGCGTATGCGCAAATGGTCATTTTCCTCGACGACATAAATATACGAATTATTTCGTCAACTTAGTCAGCATCATAGCTATATATTTTAATGCAGGCGCGGAGCTAGGATCCCATTTTAGGGAGGGGCGGTAGTGAACAGGCGAATCACTCAAAGAGCGCGCGTAGCGCGCTTATTAGGGTGTTGTGGGTGATAAGCCTACCCCGCGAAGCGCGGAAGCTAAGACGTTTCCTTAAATTATTAGGAAAAGAATACGATTTGCTGTACCATTCTCGACTGTTAATCCTTGTCTGAATTCAGTTTGCCCCCCCCCGACCCCCCCCCCTCCCGCGCGAAAGTTTGGCGTTTCATTATATTATTAGAGAAAGTAGACAATTCGTTGAACCGTGTTCGACTCTTAATCTTTGTCTGAATTCGGTTTATCCCTCCCGCGCAAAGCGCGGAAGTTTTGACGTTTTATTAAATTATTAGAGAAAGCAGACGATACGTTGTACCGTTTTCGACTCTTAATAAGCCCTATTTATCTGAATTCAGTTCCCCCCTCTCGCGCGAAGCGCGGAAGCCTTGACGTTTCCTTAAGTTATTAGAGAAAGCAGACGATTGGGTGTACTGTTCTCGACTCTTAATTCTCGTCTGAATTCAGTTTCCCCTTCCCGCGCGAAGCGCGAAAAGCTTAGACGTTTGATTTAATTATTATAGAAAGAAGACGAGAAGGCGAACTTTAGACCGTTCCTGAAACGGTCCTGAAACGGTCTTACCGGTTACCGTGACGACCTGCAGTCGTCACGGTAACCTATTGGCCCCCTACCTCCCCTAGATCGCGTGGGCGGGAAAAATTGTTCTGCATTGCTAGCGCGAGAGAGCGGAGCATGCATGCGGTGCAATATGCGGAAGACTGCGCCGCCCAATGCATTTTGTATATAATTATAGTGGGATTCTTATTATTCTGAAGTTTATGAAGTGCTTGTTCGCGCACGTCGCGCAACTATTCTTAATGATAGTGACATACTGTATACGTGTAGGCTATACAGTTATACATACATGAAAAAATAACTCATTTCTCATGCATTATGCTGAAATTGTAACAATCACATTTTTTTCTTCTTCTTCTTCTTCCTTTTTTCTCTCTTTTTGTTGTAATATCAGGGGGGATGTTTGTACAGGCCATCCCCCCTACTTCAAGCCAGGGGGGGGGGGGGGGATGCAGCCCCCACCCACTCCCCCGGAATTTACGCCCCTATTTATACCAGTTCGCCATAATACACTAAATCCGAACCTAAGCTATAGGCTAAACACCAATCGTAAGCAAAACCTAGTAATAAAATCTTTGACGCAATAATACCCGAGCAAAAGTCGGATCAGTACATAATGACAAGGACTTGACCGCCATAATGTTCTGTAGAGTTCTATAAAGAACAACGCGGCTGATTAATGGAATGCATATTTACTCACATTGTGCTTTTTTTTTGCAGAAGACATCCGTTAACATTCTCTTGTCTCACTCACTGATTTTAAAGTATAAGTAATAAATTGCCTACGGGAACCTGATGTTCCTTAATTAAAGCTACTTGGGGCACGTTTATTGGGTCTTGCCACTAGATATGTACATATCGTATCATACCCCACTGTCGAACCCACTATACGAAAGTGATTTGCGGGATGTCGCGTTTATCGTCTCTTCACGATTCAAAATAAAGGCCTTGTTTCTGCGCAGCTGTTTTGACCCGGGAACCAGACAGTTTCTCGGAGGTCAACTACACACACATGCTTGTACACGACCTGGGTTGTCCGATTTGTATGTGGAGTTCAAAACTGTATGTCACATTCAAAACACACCTTTTTGCGTCTTTAGATATGCCCATATCTAAAGACTTTTAAAAAAGGCTTTGCGTTTATCACCTTCTAAATTTGCCTGAAAGACGTTTGAGAAACCTGATTCTAGCCAAAAATTTGGTCGATAAACGCAACCTTGGATCAGAGAATTCAGTTGTCAACGAGTGAAGATCAGAAGAATGCGACACCAACTAACGAGCTTGTGAAGTAGATTACTTTGGTTCGGGTCCAATTACTAACCTGGTATCGCACGATACTGTATGGAAATTCACAGGAGAGTAGAATTATTGCGTAGCAGACCCACAGAGCATGGCGGGCCGTTTCGGGGAGAGCTCCTTGTGTGCTCTCCGCTGTCATGGTTGTGTCCAGGTCAAGGGTACCATATGTAACTGCAGTCGGAGCTGGACAAATGGACGTGGATTTGTCTACCGAGGCGCTTCCTGTGGGATTGGCCGTTGATGACAGGGTCGACGGATCATCCACGTCCGCAACATCTACAGTTGTCGAGGTGGACTTGAGGGCGCTCTCACTAAGGAGCTCTACACTTTCTCCATCGATCTTTTGTAAGGAAGAGCAGAGGTTGGGACAACAGTTGCAATGGCAACAAGAGGAGACCGTTGCTAGTGTCGCAGTAACTTTGCTCGTTATGGCATTACCTGCTGCTGTCAAGACCAAAGCAGTTGCTTTGCCCTCTGATAATGAAAAAGAGAGAAATTCTGTGTAAATCTACGAGGTGAAAATTATACAGAGAGAGATAGAGGGGGAATAAGGCCTACCCACATACAGTTAAGAAGGTTCTGCTAGATCACAGCCATGGTAGCTATACCATATTATTACATTATATATATTATATAACCGTATGCATACAAATTGGTATTGGAGCTGCAGGTCCTCGGTTCTAAACTAAATTATATTCTATAGGTGCATATTGACAAAGAAACAATCATCTAATCTCTGGCTACTATATAAAGACAATGGTATGGTAATTAAGGATACTACTAATAGATTACTAGGTCACTACTTGCCCCCCCCCCCCAAAAAAAAAAAAAAAAAAAAAAATAATAATAATAATAATACAAAAAAAAAATAAATAATAATAATAATAATAATAATTACAAAAAAATAAAAATAATAATACAAAAAAAAAAAATAGTCGTATACATAGAAACCTTGACGTTCTAAAAGATCAAACTTGTCTTTACACGCGATACAAATAAGTTTATGGGTGAGAAGCAATGAAGAAACATGGATTGTTCAGTTCATTTTTGAAAAGGAAAGTAAAAATCCTTCCAATTTTCAATGTAGATGATTGCAAGATATTACAAAATGATTTAGAAGTTTTAAGTAAATGGTCTGAAACATGGATGCTCGACTTTAATGTATCAAAGTGTAAAACTATGAAAATGTCTCGAAAGCTTCACGATATAACATATAATTATTCTCTCAATGGACAGGAGTTAACAAATGTAAAGTCTGAAAAATACTTAGGTCTTGTAATAAATGATTCTTTAAACTGGAACGACCATTGCACTGAGTTATATACAAAATGTAACAGGATCATGGGAATTATAAGACGGAATTTTGTTAATTGTCCAAAGTCTATTTTAAAAAGTCTTTTTGAATCACTAATTCGCTCACGTTTAGAATATTGTTGTACAGCATGGGATCCCTATAGAAACACACACAAAGAGAGGATTGAACGTATTCAAAAACGTTACGTAAGGATGATGTGTAAGGATTGGTCTACGAGTTATAACGTGTTATTACAAAATGTCAAAATGAATTTATTAGAAAATAGACGAAAGTACCATAGACTTGTTTTTTACTATAAGATTGTAAATAACTTGATTAATGTAGGAGAAGTAAATAGGTGCACACGAGCGAACAGAATAGGAAGAAATGATAATACTTTTAAGATGCACGTTCCATATGCCAGAACAGACTATTATATGAAATCCTTTTATCCCCAAACAATTAATGAATGGAATCAACTCCCACAAACAGTAGTAAACAGTCAATCGCTAAATACCTTTAAATCGGCTCTGGTAAAACATCTCAATCTAGATTTTAAAATAGAAGTGTCTTGCAATTTCTAACTTGTATTTCTGTTGTTGTATTTATATTGAACTATAACCTATGTCATACTTCGATATTTTATGTATTAGTATTTACTGTGTAATTATGTATGCCATTTTACTGTCCATATCTGGGATGCAAACTTGTATGGGTTTTTCTAAACCTTGTTTTGTAACCCAAGACATGTATATATTTTTATATTGTCTGAATAAAATAAAATAAAATCAAATCAAATCACTAACTGTCAGGGCTAGTCTGTTGAAACACGCTCCTGGCATACTTGAAGAACAGCATGGTGACGATGTTGACAACTAAAGTCACCAAGTATCCAACGAAGAAGGATACATCGAGCTGAATGAAGGAAACACCTGTGAGAGCGAGTAGAGGGGCAAACTGCACGGCCGTGTAAATGCTAGGAATTAAAGGAGACAAGACGATGATGAATTATTGACATGTTCAGCATTTTGAAATGTTGAGCTGATTCTGCTAAAGTTAGTGCATTTTAGAAGTCATGAAATACCGAATAAACGATAAGTTTGGACCCGTTACACAAATCTGAGCAATTATTGAGCGATCAATTGCACACAATGATCAGTTCAATTAATCCCCCCCCCCCCCGCAAACAAAAAAACAAACAAAAAATGTATATATATATATATACATATATATATATATATATATATATATATATATATTTAAAAAAACATGTAAATAAATAAATAAATAAATAAGTAAATAGATAAATAGATAAATAGATAAATAAATAAATAAATAAATAAATAAATAATCGTATGATCAATTGCTAAGCTTTGTTTTACGGGTGCATATACGTGTGATGGCGCCACGGTGAAAATTATGACCTCATGACTATTTGAAAACTTTAGTTCTTATATTCGGATGAAAAGTAATTGGTGAACTTTCTCACGTTTTTATGTTAGTTTGGAAGAAAATCATAGTAATGTCCCCTGAAAAAATGCTCTTCGGATGCTCGAAATATGACGAGAAATAATTGAAAAGTTTGGACCAATCTTTCATGCAGCATAATTTTTTGTAAAAATGTGTGTGTAGACCTGTATTCCTGTGCTAAGTGCATGCGATTTTCAAAAAGATCTATTAGTTCTATTTATTTTGATCATTAAAAAAGCCCATCGGACCTCAGTTTTCCGATTTATACCAAAATTCTCCCACCAGGGCTTTGTATTATAAAGAGTTGCGTTTGATTAAAATTAATCGCAACTGTGAGATACGAATCAGTCGCGACTTTTCATCAGACGGGTCCAAGAGATCAAAATGTTCACGTTTTCTTTTGAACAACCCTTGGCTTTAACTTTTTTTAAATCAAATTTCAAACGTTTCAAGCATGTCCACACTTACTAATGGAAGCAACTTTGGACGGACGCAGTTCCATATTTCTCAATCTGCCTTGCCGCGAAGGGAGGAGCCGTTACGGTGATGCCAGCGACGCCTAACCCTATGAGGATTCGGGACATGTAAAACAGAACACGCCGAGCAATGATTGGTATTACAACAGAAGGGCCGAAGATTGACCAATCGAAGGTGATCACAGGTAGGATACAGTTTCCTGGAGGAAAAACGGAAAACACAATCTTATTCATTCACTTAAAACAAAATGAGTTCACATAATAATATATACAGTTATTCATTTTGTATACAAAGTGTATTAGGCGTTCATCCACATTATTTTCCTGGAAAACCCAACGGTGCAGCCATTTAATGCATACTCCAAATGATTTCAGTTTTTCGTTGCTGTTCAGATGCCACAACAAGTTTAGCCGTTGGATGAATACTGACGTCGCCTCAGTTTTCTCCTAGCCTTCTCCTCTCAGTTGAGTCCCTTCTGGGTCGATAACTCCAAGGATTATTCTTACATCTTCCAGGGGCGGATCTAGGGGGGGGGGGGGTTCGGCGGTTTAACCCCCACTCCCCCCCTCTTGGGCGGCCAAGTGAAAAAAAGGGGGGGGGGAGAGAAAGAAAAAAAAACACAGTAAAACGGCGCGATTTTTGGAAAATCCTGCATCCGCCACTGGGTCAACCCCCCCCCCCCCCTTGGCAAAAAGCGAGATCCGCTCCTGTCTTCCTTCAAACATCAATCGGTAGCCATGCAGACGACCCGAACCCTCAACCTGATATTGGATAAAGTCTACAACCTCACAGATGTCACTGTATTTTTTTTTCCTCCTTGATCGAGGGACAGGCTTAGCTGTCTGGGCATGCCTTTTCAAATGACGGAAAGAAATTACAATTCCGCACTCTGTGGTAAGAATGATATAACTGTGTCTTTGTACGTGAGTCCCATTTCAAAGTATATTTATCATTGCGTTTCGTTAAATGGTCAGAACAAAGTCAGTAGTTTTAACAAGACGACTCTAAATCAAACTCCCGTAAGTGATGTTTTCCTGGCATCTACTATCATGCGGAGCATCGTCCACGAGCCGCGTAGCGGCGAGGCGATTTTTTTTTTTTTTTTTTTTTTTTTTTTTTTTTTGGGGGGGGGGGGGGAGAGGGGTGTTTTTCTATGTACATCACATTAAACACTTGGCAGCCAAAGAGGGAGGGGGGGGGGGGGGTTAAACCCCCTAACCCCCCGTAGATCCGCCCCTGATATATAATCCTCTTCTTCTTTCTTTATTTTTCTAAGTCATTATGTCAGGGTGTATTTTTCCCGTCTGGTGCTATAATATGTTAGTCTGTGGGATATCTTTGTGAAGATTAAATAGTTTACAGAAGTTGTAGCAAGCTGACCTTCCTTCCCAATAGCGTCTAACCATAATTTGCATATATCCAATTTATCCCATTTATCCATGGTTTCCCCTAGATCCGCCACTGGACATACAATGAATAGGATTTTGTGAAAGAAAGTACCAACAAAATTATTTAAAAGAAAGCGTCATTTGTGGCTGTCAGCTGTGTGACAATTTCGAAAACGAAGCACGAGACTTGAAGTTTTATTAAATTATTAGAGAAAGAAGACGACTCAAAGTACCGATCCCGGCGTTTTTTTTTTTTTTTTGGGGGGGGGGGGGGGGAACCCCCTCCCCCACCGCCCCCTGGCTACGCGCCTGCTTATTTGTGACACTGACATGACACTCATTGGAGTGGGGTCCAGAAACATGTAGGCCTCTAAATAAGCATTTTTCTTGCCTGACTGTAAATTTGGGAATTTGTCATTTTCCAACATATGCATTTAAAAGTATAGTTTACTAAGAAGTGAGGAAAAATCCCGGAAAATTATGATATTTCATAAATCAACAACGTTTGAGTACCGGGGGGGGGGGGGGTATACAATTCCTACAAAAAGCATGAGGTACTGCATGTTTATTTTTATTTTTTTAGGGGCTGAATAGCTAGGGCCCCTGGGGGCATGGCCTATACGCCATTGGTCCAGACACAAGAAACGATTTTGAGTTATGGTGGCGTGTTCCCCGGTGTAAGGATTGCACTTTTTAGAAAAAATCTGCAAAACATATCGCATAATTTTGACAATTAGCTCAAAGAAAAAAAACTTTAAAAAGAGGTTGGCGTGAATTGACCAATGAGAGATCGAGTAGTCCAGAGCATGCAAACATGGCGTCGTCCACCGATCCCGATTGGTGTGAAAATGACAATCCAAAAGGTGAAAAATCATCGTGTTTCATACGCTACACTAAGTTGTACGAGAAAACTTCATCTTTTACCAAGCAAAGTTGGTCAACTTTTTTGAAGTTCACTGCACAATGGTGGAAATACGACTGCTGGCAAGGTGAAATAGCTCGGAAGTTCGTACAAAACATCGATCTACCTGCCAGTGCCACTGTGGATCAGCTGGCGCTGGCAGAGCTGCTCGCCGAACTCCCACTGCCACAGGCCGTGTATCATCGGTGAGAAATTGAGATTTGATAATGTTTACACTCGTACAGTTGCCGTAGAACTCGTGATATGGGCGCTTGAGCGTAGAGAGAATTTAGTGATTACTGTACCTCTTTGACTTTGGTACGGATATAAACTGTACTCTGGACTGTAGTGTTAAAATTTCCCTCCAGCTCTAACTCCGGGAAGCTCCAGGTGTTGGAGCTTCCCGGAGCTACCTCCAGCTCCAGTTTAAGGGATCTTTTTTTAACAATGTTAAATCTGAGATACACGGTCCTACATTTTACCAGTGTCCGTAATATGGTGTGATATTGAAGCCCTAAAAATATCGCGCTTCAAAATGATCAAGAAGTGCCTCAAAAAAGTAAAAATCTTTGAGTGACCGGTTTTTACTTTTAGTCTAGATCTACTTGTTTTTCCCAATAGACTAGTAATATGAAAACCATTCGGCGAAAGGTTTTCAAAATTTGTAATTCCAATCATTAATATCTTGATAATCAGGCGATCGGCTTGTAAAAGTCATGGAGTTCCTGACTGACCTAAAGGTTTATAATTATCATTGCAGCATGAGCTAAATCAAGGATTATTTCTAAAAAGGATCGAAGACAAAGTTACCCGGATCCCTTTAAGTTAACAATAACATCACATTGGTTGGAGAATTTTAAAAAATTATTTTCAGCTGTTTTACTCCAATTTTTCACATAGATCTAATGGGCAAAAGTGAGAAGAAAAAAAGAGGAAAATAATGTCATTTTAGCAACATTTGTAAATTGCTGGTATCGCATTAGAAATTAACCACATTTTAATTATATCTGGTGGTCAACTGCCCCCCTCCCATCAGTATGCCATTGGTGTGTATTGTAAAAGTATGTTCTTTTTCTTTTCTTTTCCTCCTCAAGCTCATGCTACTGCCAGTATACTGATGCATCAAAGGTCAGGAGAGCTGCTGCAGCTAAGGAGTTGAGAGACAAAGAAGCAGGTATTGATCAGAATGAGAGAGAGAGAGAGAGAGAGAGAGGAGGGGGGGGGGGGGATCAGATTTGAATTGAAGAATGCATGTAAACACTGACATTGAATATAGTTAAAAGATACATGTATGCTTGGCTGGAATCAGAAAAATTCAGCAAGCAAACTACAGTGTTCACCTTTTCTCATGTTTTAAAGTAAGAACAAAAGATTTAAATCTCCATTTTGGTATTGGATTCAGAATCAAGTATGAGAAATTTTTGGGAAACTGGTTAACTAACAAGCTATCATATCATTAACTTTGAATATTATTAAAGATTTAAAGACATCTTTTTACATCTATTTTGTTGTATTTTACTTTTATCGCTTATTTACCTGTTCTACAGATCACAACTTATTAATAGTCAATGGAAGATAATTATTGCAATCTACTGCTTCATACCATACATTTAAACTTTCGAATTACATTTAGCTATGTCTTGTGTTTGTTGTTTTAGGAAACAAAACTGGAGATGGAGACCCACAAGCATCAAACTCAGCTGCTCAGTGTCTGTCATCAGAAGCCCAGGGCCTCCCTTCTGCACAATCAAAGGAAATGTTACCGCCTGTATGTGTACTTTGCAAACAGTGTAAGTTCATAAAATGTAAAACATCGAGAAAGAGGAAGTTGGAGCAGTTAACAGCTTGCACAGCTATTGCTGCAGATCGCCTAATCAAAGCAGCCGAAGAAAATGACAATATCGATCTGCTTAGAGAGATAAAGGGTAGGGATTGTGTTGCAGTAGAGTACCATCCGTCTTGTTACAGTTCATATACTTACTTTCTTACTCGGAAACCCACTGAGAAGGGTGAAGGGTTTTACACTCAGTCGTTCAAAAACTTTTGTGAAATTGTAAAGGAAAGAATTATCCATATGAAAGAAATCATGAGGCTAACTGAACTAACATCAATGTTTGTAAAAGAAGTGAGAAAAACAGACGGTGTTGATATTCAAGGTTACAGGCCGAGCAACTTGAAGCCTCGTCTCCGTAGTGCTTTCCCACAGCTCTGTTTCGCGAAGCCTTCTCAACCCAATCAAGGTGAAATAGTCTATGTAGTCGATATTCCAACACAAGAGCTGATAGAACAGAGAACTGTCATGCGAGAAACGCTCCTTCCTTCACCGTCAGCTGCTGAGGAATCATCATCAGAAGAAACCAATGGATCTCAGCACAGACAAAGTAACATTTCTTTGAAAGACATGTATGGCTCAGCACAATCATTGAGGGCTTCAATCGAGGACACAACCAAATCTCTTCCCGGGCCTCCTTCTGCCGAAAATTTGAATGAAAATGCAGCCATGGGCATCGTACCACCTCAGTTGTACAACTTTGTCTCATGGGTGGTGGGTGCATCCAGTGAACCGGAGATAAGAAAACATGTAGAGGTAGCAGATCCAAAACTACGACAACAAATTCTAAACGTCTGTCAAGATGTAATCTACAGTTCGTCCAATGGAATGGATGAAAACAAACGCCCAAACAACCCACATGAACATAACACAGGGCTTGCAACCAGAGAAATGAACCGAGAGGATTCTTCTCTTCCAGCTGGATTACAACCTAGTAGTGTTGCTACTAGGGACCTCATTCCTTCAGTGGGATTTGAAATTTTACCCTAATTTAGGTTCTGAATTAGTTTTGCTTTTCTGTTTTTATTATTTTGTTGGATTTTCCAGTACTGTGTCGTTTTAGGATTGCACTCAAGAATTAATGGTCATCCATGTTTTCAGAAAATTGAATGAAGCAGTTACATGTACATGTACATGTATGGATAAAATCATTAAAGGGAGTGGGTGTGGCTTGGCAAATACTGGTTATCGCCATCTACGTCTCCTTTTGGATAACTGCACGTAACGAATGGACTTAATTAATGGTAGTCAGCGACTTAATCTCTACATGGTCAGCTTTTGCGAAACAGACCGAAGTTCTCCTCACGTTTTGGTTTTGCGTGTGTTGCACGCACATGACTGCTCCGGTCATATCGTCTATAGTCGTATTATACCCCATTGGCCCGAGACAGGCTACGGGAAAGACATATAGTCTCATCAGGCTACACTCCCTTTAACAATTTATTTCACCCATTTTAAAAGTCCATCACCACTAAGATGGAGAACTGTTGAACAGTCTACACTTAATGCATGCCTGCCAACTTTTCCTACAGTACTTAATACAAATGTTCCTATTTTGGTGAAAAGAAAAGGGCATTTCACTCTTGTCCTCCTTTTTTTCAAAAATTATTTATGTCTTTATCTATTAATTGAACCTAATGTATAAGCAATTTGATAATGTTGCTATTTCTGAAAAATCGATTAGTTGTTCCTACTGTACATGTATTTAATGGCTTTCAGGGTTGGCAGGTATGTAAATGGTACCAGGACATTTGCAAATTGTTTGGTCACCAATCCGGTTCTGCATTCTTGCATTGTCTGTTTTACTTCAAACACATTATGTATGGACATTGATCACAGTAAGGTACCGGTACTTGTTCTGTGTGAACATAATCACATTTATTTCTCCTCAACAGTTCTGATAAAATTATTTACATGTTACAAAGAAGCTCCAAGTGTTTCATATTAAAGCCCCACTACACTAGTTTGGCAAGGAGGGATTAGACCTCCCTGCATGGTCACTGACCGGTGGTTATCTCGTCAAAACAGCTCTCAATTAACAGTATTGTAAGAAAAAGAGGATCATGGCCGACCAATGGTCACCAATTAGGAATTATTTGCTATACCGGTATAGAGGGCGCAAGTACATATAGCTATAAGTAGTGCAGTGGGGCTTTAATATGTGTACATATTTGTGTGCAAAAAGGAATTTTTTGCAAACCACTGTGATTCTGATGAAAAATAGCAAGAGATGTGATTGTACTGGTATTTGTATTGCAAACTTTCAATACTACAGTAATGAACTCTTGCTCATTATACAGTATATATATATATTGTTTTTGAGATCATTCTTTAAGTTGTGCAATTATGTGTGATCTTCAAGTCTGAACGAGGACTTTCCTGGAGGAAGAAATATAACAAAGTTAATTTAAATTTACACAGTATTCACTGGCTAAAAAATTTGATATCAAAGCACATGCAGAGACTTGTGAAGTGTAAAGAATTACCTAATGTATTACGGTACTTCATGTCTGTTGGATCTTTAAAGGGAAAGTCCACCCCCAAAATAAGTTTGTTTCGACAGAGGCAGAATAATAAGAAAATCAGGTGAGTGAAAGTTTGAGCAAATTCTGAATGAAAATAAGAAAGTTATGAATTATTGAAGTTGTGATCAATCAAATACAAATTGGCAACTCTGTGACTTATTATACAAGCTCTCCTTCATTTGCTTTGTGCATAATATTCCATAAAATCACGTTTTCTTCGTTATTGATGACGGAATATATATTTGTTCCTTGCAGGGGGAGTATAGAAACATTTGCAATTATTATATTTAGGGTGCATGTATGGTTGAAATTTTTCTTGAGGGAAAATGAAAATTTTATATTTTTTTAGTACTGAGCAAATGGAAGTTGAGCTCGCATGATACGTCATAGAGTTGCCAATTTGTGTTTGATTGATCACAACTTCAAAAATCCTAACTTCCTTATTTTTAATCGGAATTTGCTCAAACTTTCACTGACTTGTTTCTCTCATTTTTCTACTCCTATTAAAACTAACTTAATTTCGGGGTGGACTTCCCCTTTAAATAATGGGATTTCATTATATTCATGTTTGGTTCACAGACATTGACTTTGTCAGGAGTTATACATTTTTGACTAAACAAATGGTGACAAAATTTGATATCCCTTTTTTCATTCTTCCTGTCAGATGAAGTTTGTATAAAAACACTAAAAAGGTAAAGACCAGTTTTGGAACCCCCCCCCCCCCTCTCAAATTGAAATGGAAGCTCTTATTACTAATTACGGGAAACCGCCTACTAATTGATATATTTGGTAAATCGTTATATCTATCCGGACTGAATAGATATAGGGTAGTCCCATATACATCTTTCTGTGTACAGTGCTTGTAACTTTACCAAGACTGGGCCAAATTTCTTATCATGTTGATGATTTCAGAACCTTGCAGTACACACCAATATATATATGCTAGATGATCAACCTTTTCTGATCGATTCCACAACGTTTCTTTTACAATGCAATCGCATGCTTAGAACTGGTCTATACCTTTAAGTATGATTTGTACCATGTTTAATAAGTGAAATAAACAGATTTTAGAGCATATTTTCTGTTTGTTTTGTTATGTTTTGATGAACTGAATGCCCATCTACATGTATACAGTGTGCAAAGAACCATTTACTGGATGAGAATGTGAAATGTAAGATAAATGTCGGTATGCAAAAGCTTCCACTTAACCAAAAATAAATATACTTGTATATATGAGACGTTCATTTGAAGAAAAAAAAACATCCTACTTCAAAGGGGAGGGGCAGATAAGAATTATACACCTGAAAAAGCCAAGGACCTAGTTTGTCATGCTTATCTTTGATTTTTAATTCATTTATTGTTATGCCTTTGCCCAAAGCCCTTTTAAGTGCGTTGAAAGAATTTACTGAGAATGTGATATAATGTGTACAGTATGCAAAAGCCCATACTCAACCAAAAATATAGTGTGTGTGTTAGCAAACAGTGGCAGATCCAGAGGTGAATTGCCCCCCATTGGTCTTTTTGTGGTGTTTTTGTGTGTGTGTGTGTGTGTGGGGGGGGGGGGGGGGGAGCTTGTCAGCGAAGTTGTGGTAAAACAGTCACCTGAGAAAGCCTTTCTTGCTTGCTCGTCAGTGATTTTGTTTTCGATGCTTCTTCCGCTCCCCCTCCTGGATCCACCGTTGCCAAATGAAGAATTGGAGGAATAATATTTTCAAGAAAGATGAAAAGATTAAGTTAAAGAATATGAGTATTAAGCTACAACTTGTTCAAATTATTAAGTACCGCAGTGGAAAAAATAGATAAATTTTAATCCAACACCCTGTTTTCATGGGAGTTTTGCGTGAATGATCCATATTCCATTTCAGGAAAGTAAACAGAAAAACAGAGAGAGAGAAAAAAAAAAGAAGAAGAATGGCTAATATATAACACAAAAATCAGGAGAAAGGCGAATAATTCATTAACAAAACAAAAAGAAGAAATGCTAGACGAATACAAAGAAGCAGATTAACAAGAAATAACGGGCACAGGAAGCAAGAAGTTTTTGTGATATTGCATTTAAAATATAGTTGAATGGACCGTTCTTGAAACGTAATATAAAAAAAAGTGAATACGGAGAAGGACATCACAACATGACTTATGTTACTCTCCTACCAGCAGGATATTTAATTACCTGTAATTAATTTATTCTGTATGGAAATTCCATTGTTTCATTGAACATTGAAAACGCTCATAAAAAAAGACAAACAACCCCACCTGAAATTCATACTGACGAAACAAGGGTGAATTTAACGTAAAATTGGAAAGAGAAAGAACATTCGTGAAAATAAAATGAAATATGGAGGGAGAATTTTTATCGTTAATCCAAGTTGATAACAAACCGAATCAGGAGAGAGTTGTACACAAATAATGATACATAATCTTTTAAATTTCTAAACAGATTTTGCACTGGTCAATGGCATAACTACGGGGGGGGGGGCAAAGGCCACGTGCCCCCATTGGTAAGAAATGGAAATTTTAAAAAAGAAGAGGAAAAAAAGGGAAAGGGGGAGGTAAAAAATAATGAGAAAAGAATGCTAGACCATTTATGGCAGGCAGATCATGCAACTGTTTGCTCTCACCATTTACTGGCATTGGTCTCTCAAGGGACGTGCAAATCATTGTCACAAATCTAACAGAATTTACGTGTTATGATAATTCATTAGTGAAGGAAAAATTGTTATCTAAAGATCATATTGGTGAGAGCAAACAGTGGCATGAACAGCCTGCCATAGTTAAGTCCAACTTAAAGTTGATCTTATAGTCTTTGTGAAACCGTCTGTTCAATCAATAGTCTTGTACATTTGCATTTCATTCGGAGTAAGACTAGGCCCCCCCCCCCCATTTTTCATATGCCCCCTCCACACTACGCCACTGTGTCTAGTGGTGGAATAAGGAAAGAACAAATTATTCGTCGTACAATTCGTCCGTTAAAAAAAAAAACTTACCTACTAAGATGATTACACCGTAGATATGCATAGCTTCATAAGCACCGCCATACCAATCCGTGAAGCACCCCGTCAGCAGTAAGAACACGGCATCGGCCCCGATGACAATCAGGTTCCATTCCTCGACGTCATCTCTGTCGAGGCGGAGAAACTGCTCCCCGAAAACGACGATGTTGCTGATGACCGTATAGGCGATGAACGTCGCTGCGAAGTCACCAAATATGATGCAGGCGGTGTTCCTGACGACTTCTTTCGGGATGACCGTACCGTCGGCCGTCGTCATGTCTCCGTCGAGCGCATCTTCGATGTTGTCGATGGTGTCGGTGACATTAGCTTGGGTGACCGGGGATATAGATGCTGCTAGCGTGACTGTAGGCACCTCATTCTCCACATCTTCCTCTCCAGCCTCTGCAGGTGTCGTAGACGACGTTGGAAGTGCAGTATCATCAACGTTAGACATGATTCAATAGAACTGTCGTGTTTTAACAAGATTTCAATGGGTCGAACCCGTGCTTTAGCACACCGTTGATGAATTACATGGCACGATGCGTTATGTTTTTAATTTTATTCAAGAAAACTCGCAGGTTTAATAACAAGAAATGTTCATCATCACATTCAATTAATGCTTCTCCCCTTAATTTCCCCTTAATATCACACACGCAACAACTGAACATGACACGCTCGTATCACAATACAAAATGCCTTCTAGCTCGAGTTAATACGAATGACGGATTCAAAATGAAGAACGGTTCCTACATGTAATATATCATGTATGACTTTACAATATTAATAACAAAATTGCATCAAAGAAACCGCACAAAGAATTTTATGATTTTAACATACCAGCAAATATTAAGTAGAGACAGAAAGTCTGATCAGAGTGAAAGGAAAAGACAACACTACATATCAATATCATTCTCAAACACATTTAGTTAGATGCGATATACTGTTGTGGTCAACGCCAACTCGGTTGACATTGAAAGAACCCTATCATCTAGGGAAATAAGGTTATAAGTGCGGGTAATAGATTCAAAATACAACCTCACACTTAAAGGGCTCCTTCCATCCAAATGCAAGTTTATTCCTGTTGGTGTTGTAGTCCTGCATACATCTCATATTTTTATATGTAAACTTATGAATGTGTTTCATAGATTTTCAAATATTTTTTGAAATGTTTTTTTCTTCTAACTTGCTATAAAGCTCCACCCTAAAAATCCTCCACATCTCATTCCCCTTGTGGCATCATTCTGTCAGTCACCAATGAGCTAACTGAGAAAGTGGTATGTAACCTTGCCAAGGCTGATCACCTTGCACAATACGTAATACAATAGCAACATAAAAGTTGCTATGTCACACATGCTGTAGCATCAGCAGGAAGAAAAAGGCATTGATGATGTATTGTACATATATGAAACATGCAATTATTTCATGAGCGTGTGCTCAGTACGGGGAAATTACATACCATTGTCTATTGTAGAGTATTAGTTTAGCCGACTATTTTAGTCTGACATGATATAGCAACTTATATGTTGCTATTTTTGTTGTATTGTAACAGGTGGTCAACTTTGGCAAAGTTACACACCACTTTCTCAAGTAAGTTCATTTATGACTGACAGAAGATGTCACAAGGGGAATGGGATCTGGAGGATTTTGAGGGTGGATATTTTAAAATGTAGAAATCTATGAAACACATTCAGAAGTTTACATATCAAAATATGAGATGTATGCAGGACTACGCACCAACTGGCATAAACTTGTATTTGGATGGCAGGTGCCCTTTAATACATATCACTAAAACAAGTATATAGCGTCTTGATACTTAGTGAAAACTCTAAATAAGGCCTTGTTTACGAACAATTTACGATGTTATTCTAAATATGCAGTCATCAGGACGTGAGCGTCAAACGTCGGCAACTTCATATACTTTATACTTTACAGGGTAATCAATTTTCTTCCGATCTTCATCGTTAGTCCACCGTAGAGGGTGTCGTAGGTACATGTAGTACCGGTTGGGGAAGCCCCGTAGCCGGATCGTTGATCAGTGCAGTGGTGACATTGGTTGTAGTTTTGTCTGCAGTCATCGCTTGTGTAGATATCGTTGTATCTCTCGTCGTGCTGTTAATTGTACCTTCTTCTGACAAAAATTGTCCCAATGCTTTGTAAAATTTCTCCACCAGGCAGAACATGATGAGATTGGTCAGACTTATGGCGGTCAAGACGAGGAAATAGTAATTGAGATGTCCATCGTTGATCTCGTGTGGATACCATGGGTCATCTAGATTAAAGAGAAGGTTGAAAATACAATTATAGTTTATACTGAGTGAACTTTGGAAACGATAATGGTGTTTTGGTATAAAATATCATATAATACGGGTGTTTCCTCAGATATTTCTGTCTACTTGGTGTACTTTTAGAGGGATGTTGATCGTGCATTCGTCGTAAGGGACATACATGATTTAGGTACTATGATAAAGTTTGTGATTTTCGTCGTCATGGACATACCGTCCTTGTTTTCACGAAGTGACGGTAGTGAGGAAAATCGTCACGCAAAGTGAATGCAATTTTTTTTCACTACCGTCACTTCGTGAAAACAGCGTGATTTTATAGGTACCACGATAAAGTATGTGTTTTGAAAAAACAGTTTCCAATTACATGCATGTTGTTGGTTACACCAAAGGTCCGATATGCCCTGGAAATACTAATTTTCGTCTCAACATCAGTATTAATGCTGCTCTTCAGGCGGCCATGCAAATTTTATTATCAAATAATTATAATGTTGTTTACTCCGGGGATCTTATGAGCTTCAATGCTGTTCTTCCTGAGGGCCCTGCAAATGGTATTACACCCAGCGATTGACAGGTACCCATTTACACGTGGGTGGAGAGTGGCAAATGTAGATTAATGTCTTGCCAAAGAGTGTTAGTGCCTGGCTGAGATTCGAACCCTCAGTCCTTAGATTGAGACTCAAGTGAATTAACTACAATACTACGACACCGATCTAGTAAAGCATTGCCAGGTATCTGTTGAAATACATATTGGTCGAGATGGAATGTGGCCAAACACTTTGTCTAAAGATGTAAACACCGAGCAAGAGGATCGAACCGTGCATCCCTCGTATGAGAGTCAAGAGCCTTCACCAACATACCACAGTACTCCTACTGCAATAGCTTAGACTGACCTAGCAAGTCCAAGTTCAAATGGGAGTGGAAGTTCTTACCTGTCGTGATTGTGTTAATAAGAGGTACGATGAGTATGGCAACAATTTGGCCGATAGTTGCATAGAACAAGAAGATTCCTGTTGCGATTGCCTGCATGGATCTCGGGGACTGCCTGAATGCAAATTCCAGACCTGACAAAAAGGATACAGTCACCATAACAAGTTAATATGCGTTTATGGGGCACCGTTCACAGGAACACCCTCTCCCATTAAACGGTAAACCCTTTTTAAACAACTGAAAGCGTTTCGGGGGGGGGGGGGGGGGGGATTCCCAACTAAAATCGAACTATTACTGGATCTCTGGATTGTGGACCACACGGTACGGGGTTCGAATCCACGTCGACAATAATCTACATTTGCCACACTCGACCAAGATTTTGTAAGATGGTACCTGGTAGGATTTAGTTCCTAGAATGCACCGAGAGCTATGGTTGCCTGACTTAAGTCTGGGTAATTATATCTACAGTCCTTTCGAAGTGCAGTGATAGGCGCTATACCAGAAAGGAACATGATGGCCTGTTGCTTATGATTTGCGGGGTCGGTATGAATCAAGTTCTCAACCTGTGCTTCATACTGGGATAGCGCTATTTGATGACTGATCCGTCCACAGGGCCACAAAGACACTTCTATCTAGTAAGTACTTTCTCCCGGTTCTGAGGTTGATTGCAACATCTCTCCATTTCTTCTGCCATTGTGGTGCACCATTGCAGTTTTAGTCCACTCCAGTTCTTGACATTCTCTTCCCAGTTGATCCTGGGTCTCCCTCTCGGTCTAGTTCCTTCCACTCTTCCCTCTAAGACATCCTTTAAGAGGCTTTGGTGCCTTTTAACCTGACCAACGTATTACTTACTTGAGATATATACAAAGACATCTGCGGCAGCCATAAGGACATACTGCGGTATCAGGGAAGCAAGTGTGAGATTCGATGTGGTAATGGTCTGGTTGTTGATCTCCTGGAGGAAGGAGTCGCCTCGCTCGATGAACATCATCCGAGCCGTCTCAACGATGGCGGCAGCTAGGACAGACAGGGTTGTCAAAATGATTCCAATCTCTGAATAAAGAACACGGCATTTAAAAATCATTTAGCGACTTCAATGGATTGTATACGTCCATCAACGTAGGATCAAACGGATAAAGGGCTAGTAAGTCGTATGATAAACGAAGAGCCAATGAGTAGCATGATTAGATGGACCATGGACTAAAGGAGCTTCGGTTTGAATGGATGGACTAGGATCTGGGTTCTAGGATATGGGTCTTAGGACCAAGCAGACGAAGGGCTGATCTGTAGCAGGGTCAATCGGACGAAACGCTAATGGGTCAAATTCCAAACGGAAGAAATCTATTGGGTCCTAAATATATATACATTTTTAAAGGTTGAATGTTGATTGAGATTTGAATCAGAAATAACAAATCAAACAAATTTAAAAAAGTAGAGGGTAGCTAGTTCGTAATTTACAAAGGCTTTCTGGTATAGCATATATTTGTAATTAGATGCAATATCTACAGGTACATGTATGTACATACCTCATATAAACTCTTCCTATTTCCAGGGAATGTCTTACAGTTGTAACTATTAATGAAACAAATATTGTGATCCACGATGCACTTACTGATTCGAGTGGGCATCGTCAGTGTGATGAAGTTCTTACTGATGTAAGGGAAGACGTAAATATCGAAGACGGGAGCGAGCGCGATACCCACCAACGGGAGATAGCGGTGAAGGATTTCGGGGGCGACTGTCATTCCAAAGACCGCGGGCTTCATGCGCTCTGCCTGACTTATGAAGGATGTTGAGATCTTTTAAACACACAATACGTTTAATGATTAGAATCAAATCAAAATAATACCAGTGGTTAAACTGTTAATGATCATGCCAATAAAACCATAATAGTGATAAACTAGGTCCGAGCAGGATGTTGCTTTACAACTAATAAACATAGGCCTACAAATAAAAGCCTTCGTTACCATAACAATTAGTATCCATGAAAAGCTCAACTTTCGATTGGCAGATTATACATTATTTCATAACTTTATAAAGAAAGCAGCCACAAAGATAATTCCAGAATTTTCTTCGTACTGGATACTAAAGTATTTATCACACTTGGGTAACGAGTTACATCTGTAAATGAAGGTCTTGCCAATAAGCGGTAGGGTGGGAAAGAACTATAACCAAGTTTTCCACACCGTCCGATGAAATATCCAAAAGACGACTCATCAGCTAACAATACTTTTAGTACCAGTGTAGCTAATTTCCCTTCTTAATTATGAACCATTTCTTTATTTCAATATCCATCTGAGGAAATATAGTTCCATGTCCACCATCTTCTTCGTATGAAACCGTTAGTGTGACCATGTTTGAGCAATACAGAATAAGTTGGTCATTTTTTGTGAGACTTTTTTTTAATTAAAATTGTGTGTGACTGTACTGACCTGATAACGCATTATACTGTAAGGCACTTGGCTAGAGAGAAGTAAAATTGTGCAGCAGACTATAAGAGCATGACTGGTTATTACTGGACGATCTCCACCATTAGTCACTGCGCTCACTTCAACAGTCCCATATGAAGTAGATGTAGGAGGTGGCTCGGTGCTTAAGGTTTCGTCTACTGAGTCCTCGCCCCAGGGGTCAACTGTTGCAGCCAGCGTTATGGACGGATCCTCTACATTTGGAAGATCTGCAGCTGTCGAGGTGGACTTGAGGGCGCTCTTGCTAAGAAGTTCCACGTTTTCGTCATCCACGGTTTGAACAGAAGAGCAGAGATTGGGGCAGCAGTTGCGCTTGCAACGAGAGAAGCACGTTGACAGTTTGGTCATTAAAGAGCGGGCTTTTGACCTTACGACCAAGGTATCTGTTTTCCATATGGTAATTGGACATGTTGGAGAGAGAAGGTTAGTTTAGTTATCCATTCTACAAGTAATCTACATAAAATGTGTGTATCAATGGCTTTTAAAACGCATATTGGTATTGGTATTCTTAGAAAAACAACGGTGGAATATTCTTTAACAAAGAGAGAAGAAAAAGTGTTATGTGCGATAATTTTTGAACCCCCAAAAATGACAGGAAAGCCAAATAATATGATATTTATAAAAGTTTGCTATAGTCCCGAGACCGATTGACGGATGGAGCGGCATGGCAGTCCTGCGATATAAAAGTTAATACTGACTTATTTTCTTCGGGTTTAAGACACCGACAGAGTTTTAAAACCTATTTATCTTGATTATGACCAAACTTTTCTTTATGTTTTAAAAACTTTTTACATCAAGATAGACTTCACAAATAATATGTTTCAAATATTTAGTCTAAATTATTAGTGCGCAAAGTAAATTTAATGTATCACTTCTCATATCCACCTTCCGTATAATCATGTTACAATTCTATGTATGATTTTTTTACGTATTCAAACAAGAAAATAAATAAACTTTGAAATAAACTTCGAAACCTTGAATTTAAATCCTGTCTACACTAGTTTGGCCAGGAGGAATTAGACCTCCCTGCCTGGTCACTGACAGGTTGTTATTTCATCATATCAGGTCTCAATTAACATAAGAAAAAGGGGACCATGGGAGACCAACGGTCACCACTTAGACATTGTTTGCTATATAGAGGGCGCACGAAGCTATTAGTAGTACAGTGGGGCTTTAAACCACTGTTAAACTGACCTTCAGGTTTTCTGAGGTGAACTCTTTTGCGGACATAGAACAGGAAGGCTATGCTGAGAAGTTTGAAGGCTACCGTAAATAGGTATCCACAAGAGAAGGAGACGTTGAGTTGGACAAAGGATAAACATGTAAAGGCGAGAAGAGGGGCAAAACGTACCGCCATGTAAATGCTAGGGAAGAAACACAGATATTTGATAAAATACACAAATTCAACAGGAAATAAAACAGTAGTTTCAAAGGAAAATTATAGCAAAATATTGTTGGTATGATATTTGGTAAGAATTAATTATGTTTAAAAAAGTTATAATAAGCTCCTTTGTTGTTTTCTTTTCAAAGTGAAATATCGATTAAATGTGAGTTATAAATTAATTTCATTCAGGGTTACAATCTAAATTCCATTTGCCTTTTTTGTTGTATAACTCCTATTATGAAACTAACATAGTTAACTGAAAAAAATTAGTTTGTTAAAACTTAAGCACGAGATAAAACTACACACTCCCATTCTAAAATGCATGTATACGATTCCATGTGAAATAACATATACTCTTTAACATACATTTGTACATTTGTACGATATCAACATTGGTATTTAGCTAGAGTAGTTGCCATGTCGGGGGAAACTTCAGTTACTTACTAGTGAAAGCAACTTTGGATGCCCTCAACTCCATACTTCTCAATTTGCCTGATTGCGAAGGGAGGGGCAGTGGTGTTGATGCCAGCGAATCCAAAGCCTAGGATAATTCGTGCCGTGTAGAAGGTAATGCGACGAATTGGGACGGGTATACTGCAGGATGGATCGATGACCGACCAGTTGAACGTCAGCAGGGGTAAGATCAGGGTACCTAGAAAAAAGATGTATGTACAAGTCAAACCTGTCTACAGCGACCGCCAAAGAGAAACACAAAAAGTGGTCTTTGAACACAGGTTCCTTTAGTACATGTCTCAATGAGAAACCATTTTCAAGGGAAACAAACAATGTGCTTCTTGTAGACAGGTGGTCTTTGTAGACAGGTTCCTTTAGTACATGTTTCAATGAGAAACCATTTTCAAGGGGAAAAAATGTGCTTGTTGTAGACAGGTGGTCACTAAAGCAGGCTTGACTGTATATGATTGGAGAGGAGGTCTAGTGGTCGTGTCTCCGGACTATGATCACGAGGTTCGAAGCCCTGGCACGTGACTAACATCCGTTGGCAAGTCATTAATGTATATTTGCCAATCTCTATCCAGTTGAAGTAAATGGGTATTCTCTAGAATCATAGTGAAATCCAAAACACAGGACATGTAGGAGTGGTTTGGTTGACCTTTTCTGAAATTGGAGAGTACTGCTTTAAACATGGATATCCTCTTTAGTAAGATTTGATCGTTAATAAAATTATGACCACTTAAATGTTTTTTTTTAATAGCTCCTACGTATAGCTACTTGCGCCCTCTATATTGCAAACAATGCCTAAGCGGTGAGCATTAAGAGCTGATTTTGATGAGATAACCACCTGTCAGTGATTATGCAGGGAGGTCTAATCCCCCCTGGCCATTCAAGTGCAGATAGGCTTTAAAGAGTAGACGTCCGATCATGTACGTACACAAGAATTATCTACCGGGTTCCTTTTTTGTTTTACCCGCAAGATAGGCTTATATCCACAACCGGGGTAATTTGAGCCTGTTTTACTTTGTGGAATTGCTGACCAAACGGTCTTTACCAAACGGTCTTTGGTGAAATGGTAAACCAGCTTACAGGGTATCTTCAAACCGAATACGCGGAGCACAAATCCCTATAACGATAGAATTGCCGATACAGTGTTTTTCGTTGATATGACAGCACTTTGGTTACAAGGAATAATTATGTTAAAAGTACCACAAATCTTGGCATGTCAAAGGAAAACTCCATTCCAAAATAAGTTTCCTTTATTAAAAAAAAAAAAAGGGGGGGGGGGGGAGACACAGACAAAAATAAATCTAGAGCAACAAGTCCGTGAAGGTTGGTATTAATAGATGAATTAATAAAGCAAAGCATGATTCTTTAAATCGTATTAACACTATACTAATGAAGATCAAAATACAATTGAGACAAAAAATCAATTCGCTCATGATTCTGTAATGCCATTTCCTCACTATTCATTGATTCATCGATTCTGTTGTATATTTTGTAATAAATGTCCTATGTTTGGTCTGTTGAGAAAAAACCCCACCTAAACCAAAAGTGATACTCAATGCTTTGCTTTCTAGCAAAGGAATTTAATCTTATATTATTTTCATTACTTGCATTAAGTGTATCCATAGACTTACCAACAAGGGTTATGGTACTGTAGAGAGTCATGACTTTATACGAATTTCCGTACAAATCCGTCAAGAATCCCGTCAACAGAAAGAACACGGCATCGACTCCGTTAACGATGAGGTTTGATTTTTCGACGTCGGCGGGGTCATAGAGAAGAAACTCCTTTCCGAAAACATCGATATTGGAGATGACGGCGAAGGCGATGAAAGTCGCTGTGAAGTCGGAGAATATGATGCAGGCGGTGTTCAATATGGTTTCTCTCGTGTATGTTTCTCCGTCGATGGCGTCGATGTCCTCGGTCACGTTTTCTTCAGCATCTGAACGCGTGTCAGGTGCAGCGGCATCGACCTCGGGTTCGTTATCCTCCATACCATCGCCTATTGGCTCAACCGATGTCGACAAAGAGGGCGGGGTTTCTCCAGGACTCGCCATGATTAGGGTGATAACTGATTCAACTTTTAAAAATGTACTTATTTCTTGAGTAAATACGACGGACAGAATTGTTGCGCGTATCAGTCGCTGATGATGCGATCAAGGCCAAAATTCATTTACCTGGCCTAATGCACCACGAAATTTATAACGTTTCCTCCCTCGAATGAGACTCTTGTATTCTTTCTAAAGATAAACTGTTCTTCACCTTTATGCAGGGAGCTTGCATCTTTCTGGTTTTATGTATCACTCTCATCTTTCATCGTTGCGTCAAAGACATATATGTTATATATAAACAGTCCGTCAACTTTTATCATGATGCGACCATATGTCATGAAATCTGATCTCTCTCTCTCTCTCTCTCTGTTTGCCTCATTCTCTCTCTCTCTCTCTCTCTCCTTCCCCCTCTCCCACTCTCCTTCAGGGGGCTCTGTCTCTATCTCTGTCTGTCTCATTCTCATGGTCTCTGTCTCATTCTTTCTCTCTCCCTCTTTGTCTCTCTCTGTCTCTATGCCTGTACCTCTGTATGTATGTCTCTCTGTCTGTCTGTGTCTGTTTCTCTCTCTCTCTCTCTCTCTCTCTGTCTCTCTCTGTCTGTGTCTCCCTCTCTGTCTCTTTCGGCGTTTCATTCTACAGACTTTCGGTTCTGTTTCGTTAAACTTGACATTAATAACAACTTCCACAAAATACAAATAAGTTTTCAGTTTATCAAATTCAACGTGTTTTATAGTTATTAGATATACAAAACTATTCAAAACAGATTATACAAAATCGGATTGTGGAATCTGAAGGTCTCTATTGCGTTTGGGAGCCTTACCAGTCAGCCCTTTTCCTTTCGTTTTATTTTTTTCACTCTTTTAAAAAATATTTCTGCGGCAAAATTTATGTGGTCCGACGGGGTTTGCTCGCTATTCATAAGGACCGCTATTCAAAACGTGGAAATTCCCATTCCCGTAGGACCGCTATTCATAAAACGAAAAGAGGGTCACTATTTATAAAGAATTATATACCTCACTTCAGAAATCCAGCCATCTGATTGGTCGAAATTGCATTCATAAACTTCAACTATTCCTGTAAAATTCCCGGTAAAATTCCAAACCCATGTAATAGTTTAAAAAAATAGTTCTAAAATCCTAGTTACCGTGGTTACTGGGAAAATAGTTCAGTCTTGGTGAAATACCCATAGGTTTACATGTTAAAAAATGGTCTGAGCGATCGAGGATACCGTACGTGTGCGATGAATTGGTCAGTGATTTCAATACAATTGAATCTTGATCAATCTTACCGACAATTTTATCTTGCATTGTTGACATGAAGACGAAAATAAACTTCCAAAAACAACATTTGCCGATAGATCTTGATCTAAGTTCGTGCCAATGCATTGCAAAAGTAAAAGAAGGGCCCGTTTAATGGAGCTGCCGCGAAGCATCCAGCACGCGAAGCCGTTTTCAATCCATTTTAATGTATACATCAGAGAAAACTGCTAGGTATGGTATTAGTGAGCAATGGCCGAGCGGTCTAAGGCTGTGATTTTAGTCACATCATTGTTGATACGCAAGAGATCGAATCCCATCTTCAACAAAAAAAAAAATATTTTTTTTTTATTTTTATTTTTTAGTCTACTCTCAAAGATACAGTCATAAAAAAAAAACCGTGCAGATAAACTAGAGAAAGGCCAAGGTGGTGTCATAAGTTGACTCTTTTTTTTCGGCATATAAAAGTATTAATGACTGCTTTAATATTTGAGAAATAGTTGTTTTTATACGCTCAAGGGAAGGTTACAATTGGGCTATTGCCCTCGGCACGCCTCGGGCAATAGCACAATTCTAACCTTCCCTTGAGCGTATAAAAACAACTATTTCTCTCAAAGCAGTCATTAATACTATAATAAGGCCCGCTATTCGAAAGGACCGCTATTCATAATGTGAGATGAGGGTAGCTATTCATAATTCACATTGTAGGTCATTACTCATAAGGACCGCTATTCATAATACGAAATTGGGGTCGCTATTCATTTACATTGGGGGTCACTACACATATTACGAAAGAAGGGTCTCTATTTATAAAACAAGAAGAGGGTCGTTATTCTTAAAGGAGGGTCACTATGCATGAAAGGAGAAGAGGGTCGCTATTCAAAACACAAGAAGAGAGTCGCTATTCATAATACGATAATAGGGTCGCCATTCATAACACGATATAAGGAGGGTCGCTATTCATAATACGAGAATATTTTGTTAAATCATTTTCCTTCAATGTTTATTACTTATTCAAGCACATTAATGAAGACTCAAATTTACAGCATAAAACTATCCTCTTTTGCTGATTAGAAGTCATATGAAAATTAAACCTACTTTGTTCTTAAATGTACATACAATTAAAACACTCGCAAGGAGAGAAACCAACTCGATAAGTGTCTTAAACGCAAATCGAGAGAGGAATAGAATATAGGGGAGAGAAAAGGATTTTAATAGAGTCAAGAGGAAACGCGGGATAAAGAATTATGCCAATAATCGATAGCATGTACAACAATATCTTGGAAAAATTACAGTATTTTTAATCTTCATCATCAGTCAGCCGTAGAGGGCGTCCCTGTCGCAGATTGAGGAAGCCCTGTTGGTGCAGTGGTGGTCGTGATGTTTGACGTCGTCGTCGTTGTCGTAGTATGGCCCGTCGCCCCGTCAACCGTATCTTCATTGCATAAATATTTACCCGCTCCTTCGTAACCTTTCTCTATGAGACAGAAGATGATGAGATTGGCCAGGCTCATGCCGGTCAAGACGAGGAAATAGTAATTGAGATGTCCATCGTTGATCTCGGGTGGATACCATGGGTCAGCTAGATTATAGAAATTGAAAGTTGAAGAAAAAAATACAATCAAACCTGCATTTAGTGGAAAACTCTGTATAAAGGCCATCTGTCTATAGTGATCACCGATATTGTCTCCCTCTAGAAGGAAATGTGTGTTGAAGAACCTTTCATTAACAAAAATGTTTTTCCCTCAGGCTGCCTTTTTAAACAGGCTTGGCTGTAGATAACTAGGGAATGAAATAGGTGTTCTTATCTGGAGTTGCTTGAAAAATACCCTACATGAGATCTTGTAATAGATCAGGGGGCGTTTCACAAAACTTATCATCAGTGACAAATAACAATTTGTGTTATAAGCTACTCAAATCCTTGCTTCTGATTGGTTATCAGATTTGTCACCGAATCTTGATATTTGTCATTGAAAAAAAAGGCTTTTTGAAACGCCCCCTGGTGAAGCGACAACAATACGAAAGAAACTGTCTAGAAGCACTCGGGGAATTATGATTTTAGAATGATCACAATGAACAGAAATTCTCACAAAAGTCAAGTATAATTCACACATAAATGTAATATGGTAAATAACCACACATGTGGCATGAGAGTTTGGTTAAAATTCTTGGAGTAATCCTGATGCACACAATGCGTTTTTCATTTCAGTAAATTATGAAAACCGGGGGGGGGGGGTGTTTCACAAAGATCCTAAGTTGAACTTATCTCTAAGTTGGACTTCACAATTATGGACAGCCATTAGCATCCTTGAAAATATTTGTAAAAGTTATTTTAAAAGGCATAAATGTTGATTCAAATCATTCATATTTTTTATCATCATGGGAGATTTCATGTTCTTGATGTGGAATTTATGAAAAGTCTACAATATTTCAATTTTTTGCTTTTGAATATATTTCATTATAAGACTACAAATGGCTCTCCATAATATTTAAGTCCAACTGAGAGTTAAGTTCGACTTAGAATGTTTGTGAACCCCCCCCCCCCGATTGTTATGCAGTAAACACAGGGTCCCTACAGATCGTTATGACTTTTGCCAGAGTTGTCACACAAAATGTTTTGTATACCACGTTGTTTTATTGTTCATTTCCCCACTTATCTGTAGTAGTCTATGTTGCCATTGTAATTATATCTTAAAATGCTACGCTATTAACATGAAAAGCACAATAAAAAGACGTTTTAGGATAGTGCGCTGTAATAGTATAGTGTTTGAGTGGCGCAATTGCAATAACGCCTCGTGTGCTTCATGAATTAGCAAGACTATATTGGAATGAACCTTACCTGCCGTGACCATGTTTATAAGTGGTACGAGGAGTATGCCCAAAATTTGGCCGATGGTTGCATAAAACAAGAAGATTCCTGTCACCATAGCTTGCATGGTTCTTGGGGACTGCCTGAAAGCAAATTCCAGACCTGATAAAAGAAGATGACACGACATAAAAATATGTTTGGATCACATGTTTAGGAGCGGTTCTATATAGTAGAAGTTTGGTAGGCGGGAGGCGAAGATGGCGCTTTTGTTGTGGTTTCGTCAGAGCCATCTTTACACAGAGTTTGGCCAACTTGGTTTCACTGGGTCACACATATGGCTCCGTTTAGTCTCATTTCACGACGCCCCCTATCGTCAGAGCATGGTCAGCGTCAGCAGCCTAACATGTTAGCCTATGGACGTTTTTAAAAAAAATCGTTAAAAATTCATTTTTTGTTTAAACGAAAAGCACATCCACCCCGACGTACGTTATCACTAGCTCTTTCATTTGAGCCCTCATGTCTCATTGACTTTTGAAAGTTCACCAACCGTAATTTTTCAAAATAGGTTGCAAGCTCGTCATTGCCTATAATACACATGTGAAACAAGTCTAACTTTGGACTCAGTTTACCAAGCGATTTGAAGATTATAGGTCCAGCACACGAAACATAAAACGCATGAATTATCATAGATCACTTCTGCCTATTTCATTTTGTCCATTTCATCCAACCCCCACCGTAATTTTTCCATTTAGTAAAAGCAAATATTTTGCCGAGTTTAGCAAAAACATGAATATTCATGAACGGTCAGACAATACAGCCTTTTAGTACGTAACGTATAGTGAATGGGAATGTGCGATGATCCGTTCAGGAGGTAGAGGTCAGTGGTTTGTGCTGGCAATGTTCACGCGAGCGAAAATGAGACAATCGGAGCAATATGACATGGCGTATATTCTTTTTATTTTGTGCTTGCCCAACAAAGCAGTAGTAGTAGTTGCATCCAACTCGAACCAGGTCGGCCTAACTCTGTGTATAGGCGGCTCCGGGTTTCGTCACAAAAAGGCACTTCTCTACTTCAAAGAACTAAGAATGTTTGGTAAATGGCAGTGTGCAGAAATAAGCTATGACTGGAACCTTTTTCAACAACGGCACTATTACAGATATACTGACTGCTATGTGAGACCTGGCTATTTTTCATAGGCTCTAGATTTCTTAACAGAGGTATATAAAGGTATTGATAGGGTCAGTTGCAGTTCATACGCCAAATAATGAAGAATAAAGACATTATTTTGATGCCTGATTCCGCATTTGAACAACGAACGACGTCACTTACTTGCGATATATATGAAGATATCAGCTCCACCCATCAGTACATACTGCGGTATCAGTGTACCTATTGTAAGATTCGAAGCGACCACGGTTTGGTTGTTGACATCCTGGTCTAAGAACTGGCCTCGGTGGATGAACGTCATCCGAGCCGTCTCCACGAAGGCGGCAAATAAAACCGCCAAGGTGGCAAAGACGATCCCAATCTCTGAATTGAAAACATAACATTTTATGAGAACATGGCGGCTTCTTGGGGGCTGACCTTTTTTCGACAATGAAAGCTAAACCCTAACCTTTCTCATTCTTTGGACGGAGGACCGATGAGAGTGAAAACTAAAGCAAAAATTGAGCATGGAGGCAAAACCGACAAAAAAGTTTTAAAAGCCTTACGGGTGGTAGGACCATAAGAACAACGGGCTAGTGGAAACAAGGACCACAAGTTTGACGGATAATGGTCATGGAACCATAAACCGGATCTACTAATAATAGGTATGGACCAAACGTACGAAGGGTTTAGATGTGTCAGAAGACCAAACGCATGAAGGGTTTAGATGTGTGAGAAGACCAAACGCATGAAGGAAGGAGTCGGGTCTAAAGGATAGCAGGGCAAAACAAACTGATGGCATACATGTACGTCATAGGACCAAACGTGAGAAAGACTAATGGGTCCAGGGCCTAATGGAAAGCGGAGAAACGCCCTCTACGACACCCCAGCATTGTGGTCAAACTTTGTCGAATACGCGTACTTACTCATTCGGTTGGGCATCGTCATTGTAATGAACCTCTTACTGATGTAGGGGTAGATGTAAATTTCAAAGACTGGAGCGAGTGCAATACCAAGCAGCGGAAGATATCGATGGAGGAGGGCGGGATCAATATCTTTTCCTAGAACCGTCGGCCTCATGCGTTCAGCCTGACTGATGAAGGATGAGGAGATCTACATAGTATACAACAATAATGATGGGCTTAACAAATATGTCACTGTTAATTATGATTATAATTATGATGAGGGTGATAACAAAAGAGTCGAGATAAAAATTATAAAATTCTTTTTGAAAATGATAACAAAATTACCACAAAAGAAATAACAAAACTAGAATGGTCTTTTTTTAAGGTAGGTAAAAAATAGAATGGTGTGTTATTGATCTACTTTACACTTTAATTGTTGTTTTTCAAAATTTCCATTGAACTTAAAAGCTGAGATGCCGTCTACGCCAAGAAAACCTAAACGAAATTCCATTTTATCTGGCTCCGTTGCATTTACTCTATCTGGGCAAACGCTAAATATCACAAGGTAACGATACATGAACAAAAAAAATCCTAAGTTAATAAGTAGCAGCGCTCCCAACATTTATCCTTTTTTAAAAACACTTGCAGGGTTCATTAGGTATAAGAAAATAATTAATCAGCGAATAGTGAGTACCGTAAATCAATTCCGAACTACTGCATGCAGAATAAACATAATGAATTAATAAAAGGTTCATGTTAGGATTATGGAGTTTAGGATTAGCGTTCAGCCTAGGACCGGGGATAAAGTTGGTTGTGTGGAGGGGGAGGGGTATTCTGCGGTTTCCAAATTTAGTTTTCTCAAATACCGACCTGATAACGCAGGATACTGTAGGGCACTTGGCAGGAGAGTAGCAGAATGGCGCAGCAGACATACAAGGCATGGCTGGCTGTTTCTGGAAGAACTTCTGTTCTTTCCTCTACGCTCACTTCAACAGTAGAGAATGTTTCTACGGAGGCACCTCCCGTTCCCGAGGGGTTGACAGATGTAGACAGAACCGATGCTTTCACATCAACAGTCCCGTACGAGGTAGATGTTGTAGCTGGATCCGTGGTCGAGGCTACCGAGGCACTTCCAGAGGGGCCGGCTGCTGTAGACAACTTCGTCAGTGTTTTCTCAACAGCCACAACCCCTGCCCTGGTCGAGGAGATGGACTTGATGGTGCTCTGACTAATCAGCTCCATGCTTTCTTCCTCCATGGCTTGGACGGAAGAGCGGAGGTTGGTGCAGCAGGGGCAAATCATTGACAGTTTGGTCATAATGGCACCGGCTGCTTCTCTCGTCACCTTCGTAGCTACTGTCTCTCCTGAAAATCGGGAAAATGATTAATCAGTTAAACACGATTAACCTAGATACTAATCTGCATGTTAGTTCGGATTCAAAGACACTAGCACACTACCTTTGCTCTTGACTTGGCAAATTCAACTGCTCTGATGTAGCCGTCTGTCTGCGTCTCCTCACACATTCAGGTATTGTGGCTTTGTTTCAGAGTCATAAAGCAAAAAGAACAACCTTCCCGTTCGTTCTACACCCATGCGGGATGAAATAAATCGTTTGTTGCCAGCTACTTTATAAATGAGTACCCAAAAATGAAAATCACTGTTGTACAAAGCAAGCCTGCAAATTGTTTAAATTTATACCTAGAACTTTCTGTCCATGCATTTTCTTTCCAGATTTATAAAATAGAAAATGCACTAATGAAAAGAATATCGGTGCCAATTTTGCAAATCTGAAAAGTCCTGCATGTGAAGAAAATGGTAATAACATGATATAAACCTCAGATGAAGATAAAGGATCCGTAAATCTTCAACTCATTCAAAAATAGAAAACTTTAAAGCATGGAGGCATTAGACCTCCCTGCGAGGTCACTGGCAGGTTGTTATTTCATCAAATCAGCTCTCAATTAACTTAAGAAAAGGGCATCATGGGGGATCAACGGGTACAGCTTAGGCATGATTGGCTGTATAGAGAGCGCAAGTAGCTAATATGATAAGTAGTGCAATGGGGCTTTAATTTGGTAAACTCACTGTGATCGGTGTTCAGATGAAATTTCTTTCGGCAGTAGAACAAGCAGTACATACTGAGGAGTTTAAACGCCAGGGTAGATAGGTATCCAGAGAAGAAGGATATGTTGAGTTGGATGAAGGCTAGGCTTGTGACAGCAAGCAGGTTAGCACTTCGTACCGCCATGTAAATGCTAAGGAAGGGGTGAAAAGAAGTAATTTGATAAAACCCAGGGATCAGATTTATTTTTAGATATGACTTGACTGTGTTTTTTTCCCCCTGAATTAGAATATGTTTTTTTGTTGTTGATTGAATTGATTTCTGCGTTCAACAACGGAATACAAATAATTGAATATGACAGAAAAATATACAAGTCATGTATATATCAACACATCTTTAGACATTTAACAAATAACTTTTAAACACATATAGAAAATACACCTGTGGGACACTAACATTCTTTGCAAAATTTGTGAACACAAAATGTGGGCTAAAGTGAAAAAGAAAAGAAATGGTAGATGTATATAAAGGAACTGTTCCTTATTCTATGATCAGATATTAGTGGAAAGATAGAAGTAGGTCTCATACATTATATTGGTTATACAGACTGAGCTGTTGCCATGTCAGGCAAGTCTCAAATAAAGTACTGCCCCTTCGTCTATAACCAAATAAGAAGAAAGGTAGACTTATGTTTCAAATGTAACTGGCATTGGGACTGAGCTGTTGCAATGTCAAGGAAACCTCATGCAGTACTCACTAGTGAAAGCAACTTTGGACGCTCGCCTTACCATACATCTGAACCAACCTGCCTGCCAAGGGTGGGGCCGTGGTGTTGATGCCGGTGACTCCCAAACTGATAATGACTCGAGCTGTGTAGAAGACGATTCGACGAATTGGGATGGATATAACATAGGAGGGGCCGAAGACGGACCAACTGTAGGTAAGCAGGGGTAAGATGAGGGTACCTAGGAGAAGAATATGCTTTTATTAAATTATTTTTCTGGTGTACTGGAACTCATTGGACATGTCAATCAAACTGCTGCCCAATTTAAGCACTTTTAAATATCACTTGAAGATAAACTTCTACTTCAGTATGAAAATGCTTAAGAAGGTCATCATGATGGAGTTATCATCACTCGTTGTTGGCTGCACCAAACACCCGTTTTTGTTCTTCTTCAGTGTTGTTTTTCGTTTTTATATATTTTGTAACAAATGTAGGCCTATTATATACAGGTAACCTTAATCAAAGCATAATGTTGATGCTGCAGATTATTGTTAGCATCATTTGTATTTAATTACTTGCATAAAATCATTTATTCTGTCGAATATATGTACATATTTTGTTACCTTGTATATGCGTTGCTTTGAAAATTCTTTAAATATGCAGTTAATGTGGAAATAAAACCTTTATATATATATATATATATATAAAGGTATTGCAATTGCTATTATGGCAGTTTAATAATTGAAGAAAACAAATGTCATCCACCAATTTCGTATTTAGGACACCTTGAATTGGTCGAGAGGGACAACGTGGGTAAAACATTTTGTCCAGGGGTGTAAGCACCGAACACGCATCGAATTCCAGATATCTCGTATGAAGGTAGAGACTCGAGAGCCCTCATCAATTGTGTTCTAGTTTGTTTCCAGTTGAAATTGGATTACTTATCGTCATTTAAAACCTCTCTAAGTGTTGAGAGCCTAAAATTTGTCAACAAAGTATGACAACAAAAAAACACATTTTAATTGTATATTGATGTAAAAGAGGATATCATTAAACACACCCTTCTGCAATGATTTTCAAAGCAATTGCGTTTGAAGACGAATATTGATGAAAAAATACCATATTTAGGTTTCGTGTTGTACGCAGAAAACCACAGTTTTGTATTTGTTCGTCAATATTCATCTTCAAACATATTTGTTTTAAAAATCCTTGCAGAAGTGTGTGTTAAGTGATTTCCTCATTCGCATCATTATACAATTTAGGTGTAATTTTGCCATCAAGTTTGTGGGGGCTCCCAATATTTTAAAGAGGCTTTAAGATTGTATTATTACAAATAAGTTTCATTTCTATTTTATCATTTGTTGATGTTTTGAATGAGTTATGGAAATAAATTTATTTGAATTGATAATTGAATTAAAGTGGGGTTTCCTCCCGCCATGCCTCCAGTTAATAAAATTGATTGACTAAAAACCCCAGCTATATCTGTCATTTCAATGGGTTATTTTACCCACTCCAATCGCAGCATGATCTAATTTTGTCGAGTCGCCCAAACATGAATGATGAATAACCACACGTGACACGGCTACATGACCTACGCTACCCGCAACATGGGATAATCTTTACCACTGTTGCCAATTGAAATATCATGAGAGAGTAATCAATTACGACCGTCAAAACTAGTCCCCTGACGAAATGCAAGACAAGCACGCAGCTGCTCTTGGCATCCTGAAGCACTCTGAAAAAAAATGGGTAAAACTGGTTTACACGGCATTTACGCCCAATGAACGTAGACAACGTTTTGCTCAATCACGATTACATTATAGCCATATAAATTGAGCAAGTTGGCCAGATTAGGGTATAGTTTTTTTAATTGAATTGCCCAAAAGCTGCCTAGATTATATTTAGTCTACGGAGCCCGTATCCTGCCCGTGTACCCTTTTCCGTGCAGCCTCCGTGCAGGAGGCAGCCCTGATATATTCGTACGGATTCACGGACTCCGCGGCCTCTACGATTTTGTTTCACGGGAAGTTATACAAATTTGAAAAATCGTAAGCCCGTAGCCCGGAGACATGTCGTATGTGGCATTGCACGATCCCCGCACGGGCATCCCGCGGAGGACTCGTGTTGAGCGTGCAGCAAACGCATGATTTTGGGATGAACATGGGGGCAAACAATCGCTCAAAAACGGCACTGCGGCTGCACGCTCACCGCGCCTTCTCGCGCAACCTCTGCACAATAGTGGCACGAGCTCCGTACGATTCAGTCCGGAGGCGGCGGAGACTGCACGGCTACTGCACTGCAATTGCACGATTTCCGTACAATCTCCAAGCAGCCTCTGTACGGATTAGCCCCGGCCTGCCCACGACGGCCAATACAAGAAATGGCACGATGCTCGAAGATAATGAAAACACAAACATCGTAGCCTGTAGCCTCCTACGATGCCCTAAAAATTGCACACAAAAAAAATCGTAGACCAATTTATCGTACGGCGCCCTGGGCAAATGTAATCTAGTCATTAGCGAGCCTTTAGGGACTACAATAATACAATTTACTCACATTTGAATTAAATTTCTTCTAGTTTTTTTTTTTCTGGGGGGGGGGGGGGGGGGGGGTTGTGGTTGTAACAATCCTATGACAGATCGAATTTGCCACTGTTTTTCTTTGGTTTCGGTATAGCGTAATTACAAAACAAATGTCTATTAAAACAAAAAATATAAACGTTATTGTCATCATAATCCGATAATGACATGTTTCTTGCAGAACTGGTAAAATCAATATATGTTTTCAGTAGAAAGATAATGATTTTGAGCAATATTGGACAAAGGAAAGACTTTCATGGCCCTATCGCAACAAGTGCCCCTCAAGTAGATCACTCCAAAGAACTACCCAAAGCTTGCCAAATCAATGAAGAATGTATAAGTCAATATGTAGGCATGTTATTGATATGTGTGAAATTATGATGACATTTTCTCATTGATTCGTACTCACGTATCTATTCCAGTTGTACTATTTCCTCTACTTTTTCGGAGACTAATCTTTACCAGTGCAACTACAGCTATTTTGCACTCTTTTAGTTTGTAATGTCTTGTACACGTCTTGCATTTTGTTTTATTGTGAATTTTAATGTTTTGTATTTTCCACATTTGTCATTTATGTTATGGGTCCACCCACTTCTCTCAAGCCATTGGCTTTATCGGGTGAAAATGATCCAGCACAATTCTCAATGTAAATATATTGTATGTGATTTTTTATGAAATAATAAATTGAAATTGAATTGTCTCTATTTTGATGTCTTTTCGGATCTGATTCTATGGCAAATGCTTCGGTAGCAATTGCTCCGCGGTCAGTCTCGAACACTAACTAACCTAATTACCGATTTCCCAACTTCAATTCAGGACCAATCACTATACCCTACCCTAACTCTTCACTTATACCTAACCCAAACCCCATGATCTTCGACGAATTAAAGTCGTTATAAAATAAAATTTAATGCATAAATCTGTGTTAAGTGCCTCGTTTAAATAATTTCATAATTGTATTTCAATAGTCAGAATGGGAACTGCGTACATTTCGTGCTGTTAGTTAGGATAAGCCATAGTTATTGTCCTACCTAGCAACAATTAGTGTACGCAAACATTCGCACTATTAAAATGCAAGTATTCATGACAGGTGAATGAAATAATTTGTAACATGGCGCTTGAAGTAGATATTCATTGATTTTAAAAACTAACTTTATTTTCATTATTGCAACATTAAAACTTTGATTCGACAAGGTTATCAAAATTCAATGCTTGGAAGCATTCGAAGTAATGATTATTATGAATTACAAAACGCTTAAATACAGCCCCGTCATAGCACCTAAAGAGCTCTCCGAACGCTGCTGAGATGTGTGAGATCACAGTATGGACATGATTTGCACAAGCAGGCGATATCCCATGACATCTCACACATTTTCAGTGCCTGTGTTTTCATCTTCTCTTGAGTTCTTTCTCTTACTTCACTACCGTCAGGCTAAATGTATAATCTATTGCCTCACTCTAATCCCCGTGCATGGTTTTATTTTGATGACAAATGCAACGATACAAAAATAAAGGAATCTGTCGCTTGTAAACAAAATAAGACGCCATTGTATATTCAGCTGCACACACCGCGGTATGTTCGGCGTTTCAAGAGGAAACAAATGCTGTCCTTAATATCATTCCGGGGGTTTTTCAATATAAAAGTCTGGTTTCTTTGATTATTATTTAACCCCTATCCTGTGTATTTACAAGCAAAAGATTTTAGTTATCAGAATCGGGTCATATCCCCTTCTGAATGGTTTGTCATGCCATTACATTAATATACACTAAACTCATTATAATTTGACAAATAATAGCTTTACAATTATGTTCATTCTTAATGGGATGTCGTCTGCTTGGGCAGTATTGGTCCATATAGTGACGTCATTAAACATCGTTATTTTTCCGGCGAATCTCTCGTATATCCCAGCTGCTATGGAGGAGGTTGTATTTGTATATTTATAAATCACCCGATATGTGGTTGACCTAAAACTTGTACGATGGCCATCTGTTCGCTTACCAGTTTGTAGTGATACATTAGTTGACATATTTCTGATTTTCTATGTATTTCACCTTTAACGAAGATGTATGCATTAAATTTGAAGACATTACGAAAATGGTCTATTGCCGTCAGAGAAAATATCGGGTTCCCCCTCAATGAACCTACCTACAAGACAGATTACACTGTAGATATGAAGGGCTCGATAGTACTTTCCATAAACATCCGTCAAGCACCCGTTCAGCAAAAAGAACGCGGCATCGACTCCGGACATAATCAACATCGACTTATCGAGCTGGGCGCGGTCGTAACCTAGAAACTCCTCTCCGAATTTGCCGATATTGACGAGGATGGCGAAGGCGATGAAAGTCGCTGTGAAGTCGGTGAATATGACGCATGCGGTGGCCACCATGGTTTTCCTTGGGATGGTCTGACCGTCGGCCGTTGTAAAGTCGCTGTCCAGCATGTCGCCGATGTTGCCGAGGGTGTTCTTGAGCTGTCCTCCGATGACGGGAGGCGTGGTCACTGCAGCCTGGTCGACCACGGGTTCGTTTACGTCATTGACATCGCCTGATGGCTCAACCGATGTCAACGAAGAAGTAGCTTTGCCTTTTGCAGTCGCATCAAACTCATTCAACATGGTGGAGGATAATGATCCCTGTTACTCCTTTAGCCGATCGATGATCAATTCTAGGTCTGGTGAATTCGCCTAGCGCCACTAAAGTCCTTTTCTTATTTCAAATTTCTATCCTCAACCTTGTCTCCGTCAAATGAGATCATTTAGATACCTATCATTTTTTTAAACTAACAATTCGCAGATATCAATCATTCACACTTGGTTTGCGAGAGACTGTATTCATTCGGAATATAATGTTCCGCTGAGACTACTTCTGGCTCCTCTAGATTCCTCCCTCACAAGTTGTTAAAAAGGTGGTATGAACTCCTTCTAAGAGCACGATTCTTTTCTGTCTAGGTTTGCGTTCGTTGTCTTTTCCATACCCTTGTCCATAAAGGCAGACATCTCGGGTCTTTGACGGTCTTTCGTCAATTTGCCAGAATCTACATCCGAAGAGTCCGTCGACTGCTATGTGTTTGGGGCTAACATACTTGACGTGGAATGAATCGATCATGTGATGTAACACCTGCAGGCCCTTACAAGTATCTATGTTATCGAACTCTAGAATACCTAGGGGTTGTATGAGCCTGATCTAGTAGACATACTCTTTATGCCGACTATACAACCAGGGGGTGTTTCACGAAGATCCCAAGTCGAACTGATCTCTTAGTTGGACTTAACAATTATGGAAAGCCGTTAGCATCCGGCAAAATATTTTGTAAAAGTTATATTAAAAGACTTTATATTTTGATTCAAATCATTCATATTTCTATTATCAAGGAAATTTTATGTTCTTTATGTGGAATTTATGAAAAGTCTAAAATACTTCAATTTTTGCTTTTAGATACATTTCATTTTAAGGCTATAAATGGCTCTCCATAATGTTTAAGCCCAACTTAGAGACAAGTTCAACTTAGGATCTTTGTGAAACACCCCAGGGATGTCCTTAGAGAGTCGAACACCGCCCATTCCGAAAAGACTGTCGGCTTTTTTGCAACCTTTGACGGCAAACCTTATCTTGAATCTCTAAAAAGATTGTCTACTTGTTATTTCCTCTTTTAAATCGAGCCGCAAACTTTTCGGCGTATGATGTGGTCTAACATCCCCACCCATCAAAATATGTCCCCAAAATGCCTTTATTACAATAGTACTTTCACTTTTGTTTCAGGTGTAAATAACAGCCTCACAAATTAAAGTACAATATATATATACCAGCAAAAAGAATAATCTTCAAATAATGTCAAGTGGCTAATAACTGTAACAATAACCCGTAATCACCCGGAAGGTGAGAGGGGTAGAGAGAGAGAGAGAGAGAGAGAGGGAGAGGGGGAGAGAGAGAGAGAGAGAGAGAGAGAGAGATTGCATCTTGACCGCATTGACCTGTCATTGAAAATCGAAAAGTGTCCAACGTTTAAAAAATGATGGAAAAAAAACGTTGTCCTCACGGCATCAGAATCGCAAAGAGTTATTAAATTATACTCTAAGATCTTATGTTTTGATCGAAGTGTGAACGAGCGTTTTATTTTCATGTATGGTATATTTTTACCATCAAATATGTTGGGTAAATCCCTTTAGGCAAGAAGGGAACAACGAAGATCTTTTTTCTTGGGGGGGGAAAGAAAATTTAAGATGATTAGTGTGGTTATTTTTAAAGATAGAGTTAAATCAAGAAATTTTCATTTTCAATCTTAAAGAAAATTAATGTTTCATTCGTTTTATTAAAAATAAATACACATTTAATCCTGAAATAGCAAATGGGGGCTATAACATGGGCCATCCGAAATTTTCGCGATTTCTAAATTCTATAGATGCTCTGGTCACAGACCATAGATCTCTAGAATCTTTCAGCTCTCACGGCGAAAACTAAATTCGTGGATTGCGCCATCTTTGTCGTGGAGCAGGTAGGGGATGTTCTGGAGAGATTGTGGGCTGACCAACGCCCCCCGCTGCATTGACATAGAGCCTGAGCCGCCGACAGGATTATTCATAACAAATACAAGGCACAAACCGTACAAACTATACAATCGACGCGGTTTTATTAACAATTAAAATAGGCCTGTCGGTAGAAAGCCATGTGACCCTGCGTGACGTCAATGTCAGTCTGATAGTACAGAATTTATGAATTTCTGTAGAGAACGAAAAGAAAAATGTATTTTGACTTATCCTTTATAAATCACGTAGCATTTCAAATCGTCATGTCAACTTCAAATGTTAATTGTCATCTTATTTATCAGGGAGATAACTCAGATATGTATACGATGAAAGCCGCGTTAAGGCAAAATAAAACAATGAAAACAATAGAATATGTAAAAGATACAGAAAACAATGAAATATATAACAATATAAAAATAATTTTGTTATTTGCTTTAGCGTAAGTGATTATGTTAATTGGGAATATTTTGATCAAAAAAATTATTCTTCGAAAGCTATGTTCAATCAAATATTAACTTAAGATTGTATGACTATATCCTGTTTAGATTATGCTTATTGATACAAAATTTAGTTATTATTAAAAAGGTGAAGGGGGAATAAGATAATTAATAATAATAGTGCGGTATTGTTTTAGAGCCAGTGGCCAATTGAAGGACGAAATTTTAAGAGTGAGGGCACGGGGGCCATATCTAGTTTGCAAAGCCTTATAATTCGTTCTGCGTATTGACAGTGTCTGTACTTGGGGACTAGTCTTTGACGGCATACTGACTAAGTTCTTCAGAGCACTGGGTGCATGAGCGGGTACCTGTTTTGTAGTTTTAAGATGATATTATATATTATATTGTTGCTTTTACTCTGTTAATTTTTCAGAAATAACAATAAAAACAGAAGGGGGGAAGTTCTTCAGAGCACGGACAGGGATTGACAGAGCTAGGCTCTGCTCAAGTGATTTATTGTGGTAAAATTTCAAATCAGAGTCTGTGCGTACAGACTAGCCACCATACATGTCAGACCTCGCGAGTGTAGACTTTGAACCCTCATATAAAGCCTTTGTGTCCAATAATTTTATTTCATTCATTTATGATGCCCATAGACGATAATTATTGTTCATATTTACATTTACAACCTTGCTTCACAGTAATTTCACAAGTACAACATTATTGACAATCATAATTATTTAATTAAATACATGTGTAAACAATTGTATTTTTTGTCATTAATTCTATTTAATCTCTGAACTTATAATGAAACATGTAATCTTCTGATGTCTCATTATGTACATAGTTACGGTTTATAATTACATGACTTTTTGTATAATGAACAATTTGTATGCAAACGGAAAGAAACTAAGGAAGCATTTAACCCTATCTACCCACCCCCTAAAATGGTATTACGAAAGAGTTCATGAAATCACCAGTCTAATTGAATTAACAGCCATACAAGTAATAAGAGAAAAGGAGAGAGGGGGAAAAAGAGAAAACTAGAGAGAGAGAGAGAGAGAGAGAGAGAGAGAGAGAGAGAGAGAGAGAGAGCGCGCGCAAGAGAGGGAAAGAGACAGAAGGAGAGAGAAAGAGAAAAAAGAAGAGGGATGAAAAGGTAAAAAGAGGAAAGAGGGAGAAAGAGAGACGGAGCGAGGAAGAGACAGCTGGGTAGAAATAGAAGGAGAGAGAGAGAGAGAGAGAGAAAGAGAGAGAGAGAGAGAGAGAGAGAGAGAGAGAGTGTGGGTGGGTGAGAGAAGATAACGTAACCCATAAGCGATAAGTCGGTGATAAAAGAAATACATTGATCCCCTCGTTACCAAGTATGTCGAGCTAGATGGAGAGTAATGGTCTTTAAATAGAACATGACGTCAGGTGCATTATGCTAATTGATACATGAATGATTGAAAAAGGAGGTGGGGAAGAGAAAATTGACAGTGTGGTATTGATTCAGAGCCAGTGGTCAATTATTGACGGACAAGATTTCTAGGGGGGGGGGGGGGGGGCTGATGTATTTTGCAGGCACAAGGCGTTATCATTCATTTTCAGGTGTCAGTGAAATATGGCCTGCACATATTGTATGCACATGGAAACCAACTACCATCTTTCTCTAACGAAGAGATCGATCATAAACCTACACTGACATCAGTAGATATACTGCAGAATATTCGTTTCATCATGAGTCTAGACGTACTATGACGGCTCTGTACATCGGGCACGCCAGGGGAGTATTTTATCAACTAGAATTAATTTCGATTTTAAAATCAATTCAAGGCCATTAAAATCGATCGGATCGACTTTAAGATCGATTTTAGGGTTTAGTGTAACTCCCCCCGGGATTGACAGAGCTAGGCTGTGCTAAAGGCTTCAGGAATTATGGTGAAATTTCAAATCAGAGTTTGTGCCTGCAGACTTGCCCACATGCTAGACCTCCAGAGTGTAGACTTTGAACCCTCATAAAAAACCCTTTTCTTGTCATTAATTCTACTTAATATGTATCTCTGAACGTATGATGAAACATCACATGAAGTCATGATTCTTCTGATGTCTCATTATTTACATATAGTTACGGTTTATAATATGAACAATTTGTACGCATTGAAAGAAACAACTGAAGCGTTAACCCTATCTACCCAACGCCTAAAAATGATAATACGAAATATTTCATAAAAAAAGCCTTTTTGTTGTCATTAATTCTACCTAATATGCATCTCTGAACGTATGATGAAACATCACATGATTCTTCGGATGTCTCGTTATTTACATAGTTACGGTTTATAATATGAAAAATTTGTATGCGTTGAAAGAAACGAAGGAAGCATTAACCCTATCTACCCAACCCCTAAAAATGATAATACGAAATAGTTCATAAAAAAAAAGCCTTTTTGTTGTCATTAATTCTATCTAATATGCATCTCTGAACGTATGATGAAACATCACATGATTCTTCGGATGTCTCGTTATTTACATAGTTACGGCATATAATATGAGCAATTTGTATGCACTGAAAGAAACAAAGGAAGCAGTTAACCCTATCTACCCACCCCCTAAAATGGTATTACGAAATAGTTCATGAAGTCACGAGTCTAATATTGAATAACAGCCACATACAAG